AAAGATAAGGCTGTATGAAAATAAAAATAATGCTTACACCCAGGACAAATAATTGTGTGATGAGCACGATCATTTTGTTCTATGACTGAGTGTAATTTATCTAAAATATGCTTTAATATGTATGGGTTTAGAGATATTTAAGTAGGTATGTTATCAGCAGTCTGATTACCATAACACAATAACACAGGCCTCTGACTAATTTGAGAGCAAACTGTCGTGTGAGATATAGTAAGTTATTATTATTAAATCTCTTTCGTATTTCAAACATTTTTAAGGTACGTATTAAGCTATCTGGTTGTTTTAAAAACCGAAATTAGTTTACTTATGTGTAGGGAGAGGGAGGGGGCACAGATGTTAATTGCTTAGGGCATCAACTATTAATCCGACACTCACTAACTGCCGTGAAAAATGGCGTTTCAAATTATCTTTCTCCCTGGGATGTTTTCTCAGGTGACTCCATTGAATCTATTAAGTAAAATCATGCCAAGTGCAAGACGGACTCACCCACCGAAGGTTCCGTGATAAATGATTTAATTACAAATGTAAAGTTTTCATATTTTACCCTTGTAGTACGCGTACAAGACGATGTTACTTGCCAAATTAAATAGTTCTAGGGCAACAGGAAATACCCTATAAATTTTGATTCCCTCGAGAGTGTCGAATTATACGTTTTTTGCGGCATAAACGATTTTTATTTAAATAAAGAAGGATACGATTTTAAATCATGATGTGTTATTTATTCTGTGATGTGATTTTGGATGTTTGTGAATTTTGTACCTACTTATCTTCTATTTTCTGTCTGTAATTAATCAATAAACATTAATCTCTTATCAACACACGTGCACAAATGCTATGATTAATTACACTATCTATTACTTAAAAGCGCACAAATATCTAAAAAAAATTATAAGCATTAGATAATGATGAAACGATAAAGAAATATTTGCGTCAACAATGAATCACAAGACATTTAATAAATACTATTTATTTTAAGAACTACAACTATTGTTGCAAATTCATAGACATTTACTATATAAGGTACACTTGACGCCCCAGCAGTAAGACCCATTGACTAAACAGTGTGATGCTTTAGTCGTCTCCTACATATCACATTGCTTTTAGTCTCCTTGAAGTGACGACCTCTGAGGGCTTCCATACACAAAAAAAAATTACCAAAATATGTTAAAAAATGCATGTCTAGGGCTAATAACATCATTTAAATATATGAGTATTTTTTTAGTATTATTCTTTTAGTAGGCTTCCTTGGGCTAATATTATTGATTTTGATAATTTTAACCTTTGATCTGATAATACATGAATCAAAGGTTATAATTATCGAATATATCATGGATAAGATATGATATTATTATTTTATCAGTGGCATAGGTCAAGAATCAACTTTAGGCCTTCTGTAAATGTATTTTCACTTTCAGTTTTTATTTCATCATGTAATCAAAAGCTGATAGGTATAGATTTAACACTAATTTGCTACTTACGTCACTCGTATTAATACAGATGTTATCAAAAATAATTTCTTTACGAGCAGTACTTTTTTCTGAATGACTACCTGTTAAATGTTAAGGCTTGAAAGTATTACAAACAAAACGCACTTGTGCCATGTAATGTGAATTCTCGCGTAATAAAATTAAATTTACAGATAAATATAACCCATGTATTATGTATATTACGCATTTACTATGCACGAAATTAAGATTAAACCCACGCATCATATGATTTTCTACGCCATAGTAACTGGTGCGTGAATAATAACGTACTAGGAAACAATAAAATCAACGTCGTTCGTACACGGTTTTGTAGGTAGCACCAAGTTTCAGCACATGGTGACGAAATTAATACAGATTATTTTTAAAATAAATATTTACGCTTTTTGACTGACACAACAACTTTTTTTTATTGTATGGGGGGCAAACCATCAGACTGCAGCCTGATGGTAAGTAGTCACTTACCGTATAGTCACTAAACCATGGCTATGGTCGTTAACTCAAATCAAATAAAAAAAATTAAGATGGTACTCTGTGAACAAAGAAGCGAGGCCAATTAAAACTACGCTACACAATTAGACAGACGCGTACAACGCAACTACGCCTTGTTAGTCAAACGTCATCATAACGTGAACAGTATTTACAATTAAAAATGCCGAATTGTGTTGTAAAGGGGTGTAAAATTCAAACTACAAAAGATAGATAGTAGGATGGAATCGCATTTCACACATAAGTAAGCGTAGAAACCAATATTTTTAATAAAATAAAACTACGATGGCTATATACTTCGTTCTTTGCAAATTTTCATCTTGACCTTATTATTTGATCTGAGGGTTGGCAACATATCTACACATTTGTGATTAAAATGAGACTTTTATTCGTCTAATTAATATAAAGACATATTGAATTTCTAAACAGTTTTGTTGTTTTTTAGCGGGGCGAGTCCTTTGAAAGAGTTTATACAACGCTCAAAGTTGTTCGACGCGACAAGGCGCACCTAACGGTCTGTTTTTCCAACAATAAAATCTTAAGTAATAGATTTCATTATATAAGAAATATGCCTACAAAAATAATAAACAACTATATTCAATATCCACGGATGAGGTCTAAATAAACTTGGAGTCTTTCATTTGCCCACGTACCTACTGTAAGTTGAATGTACATAAAATCGTAAAAATATTATAAACATAGCTTTATAACCTTATAAAAAAAACACAATCACTTATTTGTATTCCACCGCTGAATATATATTTAAAATAACAAAGTTGAAACGTTATACAAAAGAAATATAAATATTACACCTTATGTTCAATTTCAAACGAGTAAGGTTTTCACTACCAATGGCTTCATGGTTTCCCCTCCGGAAATTTGACCTTGCTTCTGCATATAGGGTATTCCATCCGCCTTAGTATACATTTCCATTCGAACCACATCATCAACTAGTGAACTAATTGAGTAAATAGAACTAGACAACATAAAACAAGGCACGGAGCAAGATGTAGGTACATTTTAAATTAATGAAATATTTCATCATGTGTGACGGATTAAGAATACAGAATGTCACCACCCCTATTCATCCCGTGGGTGTCGTAGAAGCCGACTAATGGAATCAACTACGAAGGACAACAACACTGCAAAGAGAAGGAAAACTTGACACAAACCAACCAAAGCCAAGCCAAAACCTCCTTTCTAAGGAGAGGCCTATGTCCAGCAGTGACCTATTAAAGGCTGTTGATGTGATGTGATGATGATCATCATTTCAAACTAAACCGTGCATAAATGAAGTTGTGACCACAGTTTTGTTGTCAGACGCTTCTTGCCTACTAGCATTAATAAATAAAGGTGCGTAGCAACTGGCAATTTAAGAAGTTAGTTAATGTTGATTTAGCTTACGCACCCAGCCTTTTCACTATCACCAGCGTGGACGGACTCTGAATAGACTTCATAACTTTTTTAAATATAATAAAAAATAAGATTATGCGATTTAAAACCCCGAACACAGCCTCGTGGAACGTAATTTTCAAATCTTAATTTTTAAGAAATGATTTCAGTCTATGGTTTTATTAAACTTTTTATGATGATTTACTCTTTAGTAAAATAAAATGAGGAAAATATTGTTATTGAATAATTTAATATTAATATAAAAAGTTCAAACTGAACTTTGGAAAGTGGATACTTTCCAAAACAACGAAACGTTTAAGGAATACATTTATAGTTAAACCGCTGTAAGATTGGCTCTCCTGATGGTTTGGGGGACGCGGGGCGGGTGATGCGCTCGGCTATACATGACACGATGTACTAACTCGATATCTTCAGATTTATTTGTTTGAGATTTAATCAACACACGATGTAATAAAAATCGAATTTATTTCCATGTATTATAATGTCAGTGTATTGTAAGTAATCTACAAACCGTATTCGTGAGGGAAAATAAAAAGGTGAACATAATCAAAATAAAAGGTTATTATTTTGTCCTCTACTCGTATGAGCAAAGCAGAACTGATAACCCCCTTCATGAATATATTATATGTATAGAACTACCTACTACTTTGAGAAACTAAAAGTACATAATCTAGAACATCGACTATTTCAAAAGTATATTTCAATTGTAGAAAGAAAATTACTGTACTCTTGCTTGCAGAACTTTTGTCGTGAGGATAAAATCAAAATTGCACTGCCATAATATTTCAAACGAAATTACTTTTTACCGATTTCAGCAATGAATAATAAAAAAGTGTTGGGCGCGCTCCAAATAATTGTTGTAAAGACAAGATTTCTTAGGGTATTGTTTTATATTTAGAAACCACAAATTTACGCCAAAGGATCTTGTGTCAGTATAAAATATATTTGATGAGTACTATCTTTCCTCTCACTTTCCTACGATCTGTGGAAGTGACTTCGTGACTTTTCACCATGACCAATGAGCGCTTGCGGTGCTACTGTTGCCCGTACACATAATACATAACATACTCGTACGTTACACATACTTTGCGACTGTGATGGCTTTATCTTATCTTTTTTTTAGACAACCAGCACTATGAATATATCCTGTGGATATATTCCTAGTGCTGGTTGTCCCCCGCGGACTTTACAAACATACATGAAACGGACACAAAGAATACCCAGACGCAGAACAACAATTTGTGGATCACACAAAGTGTCGTCTTATGTGGGGATCGAACCCAAAACACTCAGCGTAGTAGGAAGTGGCGTGGCGACCGCTTAAACCACTACGCCATCCGTGCATATGATATCATCTTAAAATATTATGTGGTACTTTTTAATTACATTATGATATATTCTATGAAAAAGATCAACATAACATTACCTACCATATTGTCGAACTAAATACTGTTAAATAAATTTATTACTTTTTTTATTACTGTTATTACGTATTGCATTTATAATCTTTGTTGTTGAAAATAACATAACAACACTTCATCGCTTAATATAAAAAAATTAGTTATACGCTTGTTTGAAAATAATTGTGGCAAAATATCACTTACCTGTAGCGGACCCGGAGTTGATCAACGTCTTATTTTCACCCTGCTTGTTCAAGGGCAATGGTTTCGGGGTTGGATTTGGTAAGGAGTTAGCCGACGATTGTGATGAAGTTTTCACGCATGGTGATGACGGTAATGATAAAGGAGAGGATAGATTTAGCGGAGAGGTGGGTGTGCCCAAATTGGACGGCAGAGATAACTTAGATTCGGAGGAAACAAACGTAGTTTTGATAGATTTGACTGTTTTTTCTTCGGAATCAGTAGTGCAGAGTACAGTAGGTAATGATATTTTAAGGGAATTACTATTCGACGTGTCTTCTATTTCTGGCGAGTCTGCCATTTTGTTCTGAAACAAAAAAGAAAAAATGTTAAATTTATGAAATACTAATGAAAAGATGACGGCCGAATGGCCTAGTGGTTTATGTATCGGACTGCTATGCCAAAAGTCGTGGGTTCGATTCCTGCTCAAGTCAAACTTGTGGGCTTGAACATTTAATGTTTTACTTGGTCTATGTGTTTCTATGTCTAATGCGTATAAATAAAAAAAAAGTGTGTTATGCATTTACATCAGTTGTGTAGTACCCATGGTATAAGCTCTGCTTAGTTTTGACTAGATGGCGTTGTGCGAATGTGGTAGTATATTAATATTATTATAACAAAAGAAACTTACTTCAGAATTACAATACGCTGCCTAAACATACTATGGTACTGATATAATCCGATATAAATGGAATCTCAATATTCATTTCTGAACGTTCTTCTTTCTACAGATTTTTGTGGTCGGAATCTACCTACACATTTTGATCCAGGTGCGTCAAGTTCGAATCAAGACATGGACGTAATTGAAATCAACCTTTTGTTAACTCGTATCCAATTATACTCTTAATTACTGGTTTTGGAGCCAGATGAGTTGGCAGTGAGACGATAGTTTGAATTCAATCATCTGTCCATCTAATACTAGTAGATAATACAAGTAATACTCTATGGTAATAGTAATAAAGCTTTAAATCATTTTAAATATAACCATAAACTAAAAATTGATAAATGTCTAATAGGAATACAAATTGTGTAAGCAATTTTACTTGAAACTAACCTGGGTGTCTTAGTAAAAAAATTGCATTTCATACTAATTAATATCACATTATTTAAATTAAATTATAATTCTCAATTCAAAGTTATTACAAAAAAATATTTTGTTCATATAATATTAAGGTGGACCAGAGATTTTTTTTTATCTTTAAACAATAATATTTTGTTGCTGTCTGTGTTGTGGCGCCGTAGATAAGGCTAATTTTTTATTTGTTTTCTTTTTGTCTTGTGTGCTTGTGTTTTGGTTAATATGTTTGTGAGCATCTCGTCCTGTATCAAGTCTAAGTGTAAACATAACACTGTTTTTCTTTCTTTCTGCTTAAGTTAAAATTTTATTTTAAGTATTGTTTTTATGGTATAGTGAGGCAAACTTCGTAGGAAAACAGCACTGCAAAGAGTAAGAAAACTTGAAACAAAGCCTATACCAACTCGTCTAGCCAGCGTAGAATAGTAAGCCCAAACCTCCTTTTTAATCAGAGGCAGCAGTCAGGCAGGAGTACAGCAGTGGACCACTAAAGGCCAGACCACTGTTGATGATGATAGAAGGGCAAACGAGTAGACGGGTCACCTATCGATAAGTGACTGCTACCCCCCATGTACAACTGCAACTCAAAAGTGACATGTGCGCCCTTTCAGTCCCTCCAGAATCAAGAAGATTGAGCTCCGGTAACCTCCATCACTCGGAGAATAGCGATAAAAAAAGTGCTTAACACCGGTTTTACGTGAGGTTATGACTCACGGTTAAGTATTTACAAATATTGTTTGCACATTATAATAAACTAGCTTTTGCCTGCGGCTCCACATGCGTGTACGCCGGTCATCGTGGTGAAAAATAGTCTATGTTTTTTCTCAAGAATCAAATTATCTCTATACCAAAATTCATCTAAATCGGTTCAGCGGTTTTTGCGTGAAGAGGTAACAAACAGACAGACAGACTTTCGGTTTTACAATATTAATATGGCTAGTAAGTAGTGACCATTGCTTCAGCAATTAAATAAAAATGTAACAAGAAGCGAAAAATTGACACCGGTCAAAAAACTATCGAACATTCTTAACTATAATACGAGATCACTTTTTATTTTCTTATATACATACGTATAAAACAAAATCAAGTGTGTACCATACAAACGAGATTCCTGCAAAACTATTAAGCACTTGCGTAATGTTGTGTGGTATATTTTTGTTTCTAAAAATAACTGCTACTATTTTCTAAGTAAGATAACGCTTATAACGTGCGATACGGGGTTCTATGTTATTGTAATTAATCTATAATGCAAGGAATAGCTAGATCGAAATACGGCTACCTAACTTTTAGAAAGGTTCGAAAATCGTTTCAGATTATCACTTTGATGCGAATAATTCTATTAACTGTTCTTGATAGATAAATATATACTTACATATTACAGATAAAACAGAAATAGTTAAAAAAAATGAAAAACGGTGATCCAAACTAAATTAACACATCTCCAACGGTTAGAGAGGAGCTAGCCGTGGGAGAGCCAGACTTCTGCATATTTGGGCCGGCTCCATCGCAGAGATTACCACGGTCTCACAGAAAACCGGCGTTATTCACGGTGTAGAACCACCTTTAAGATATTTTTTTACCGAGTGAGTGAGGTAATCGGAGAAACAATTAGGGGCTCAACACACTCAAAGGTTAGCAACGCACTTGTGAGTTGCAGGTGTCCACCATCAGGTGACCCGTCGACTTATTTGCCCTTATTCCATAACAATAAATTTTATTAAAAAAAACTAAAAAAACACGCTTTTGTAACTAGCCGAATAGGAAATAATTTTCTATAACTTTAAAAAGAACAATAATTGTATCATGCAAGAAATAATCCTTTTTTTTTTTAAAGTTGAACCGACTTCTAACAATCCTCACAAAGAACACCTGGCAGCAATCGCTATGATTTGCTGTCATTTTTTGAGGAGTTCCGTTGTCTGTCTCCGAAACTCATGTTTTTTTGTTTTCTGTCAAAGGGGGCAGACGAGCAGACGGGTCACCTGATGGAAAGTGACCATCACCGCCCATGAACGTCTGCAACTCAGGAGTCACAAACGCGTTGCCGGCCTTTTAGGAAGGAGTACGCTCTTTTCTTGAAGGTTTGAAGGTCGGATCGGTCCGGAAATAGCGCAGACGATACACAGATTGGATCAGATCATCACAGATCCCTCTGGATCGCATTAAACGAAGAGCGAAGCTGTGAAACTGAAGCTCGTACTGAGGTGCCCCTGCATAGAGATGAGAACAGTATTCCATATGCGAAATGAAAATGAGCTATATGAAATTTAAATGCGACCATTTCGGAATAAACTCCTTTCGAAAAGAAAAAGAATTTCGAAAATCCGTCCGTATATGACGGAGTTATACGCGAACATATATAGAAAAAATACATGTAAACATCCGAATTTATAACCTCCTTCTATTTGAAGTCGGTAAAAATGCGTGGGGTGCTAGATCTCACTTGTTGTAAAAATATTTTATTGACAGATATTGGTAAAAGTAAAATAACTGTATTACGTGGGGCATACTGAAAGTTTCTGGATTTCGCCAGTTACAATAAAAGAATGAAATGTTTTTTCATTATGGAATTTAAAAATGGAACTCTTTGTTACTTTTTGATTTGCGAGACTGTCATTTGTTTTTTTTTCATTGTGACGTCCTTTCGAAAATTGTGTGTCGCTATCAAAATGAATTTAGCTCGTAAACATTTTCGTTTAATGTTTTTTTATGATTTTCGTTTTGTCTTAAGTCAACAAGAGAGTTACCAGAGACTTCAATAGCCAGTTTGGTGATGACACCACCAGCAGCACTATGTCGTAGCTCTTTGTATTCGTGGTTTAAGAATTAAGACGTGGACGTGATCATCTCCATGACGAGGTACGTGAAGGTAGAAGCCGGCGACTGCGATTACAGACTGTAATATTGACACCGTACCACAACTTATTAAAAACTGTCAAAAAATTACTTGCCAGAAAATTGTGCTTTGTTAGGCATTGGAATGAGCCAAGTGCAAAACATTTTACATGCACATCTGAAGGTGCGGAAGGTTTGCATTCAATGGATACCGCATAACTTAACGGAGGACCAGAAACGACTGCGTGTCCAGTGGTGCTGTAAAATGATAAAAACGTTTAACAGAGGACAGTCATTGGCTGTCTATACTATAGTGATAGGTGACGAAACCTGGGTGTACTGCTTTGAACCCGAAAGAAAAAGCCAGTCGGCAGAGTGGGTCTTTCCTTTTGAATATTTGCCGAAGAAAGTTAAAAAAATGGTTGCTTCTTTTTTCGGCAAATCAGGACATTACACTAAAGTATTGCTTGAAGATCAAAGGACAGTGACTGTAGATTGGTATGTCAACACTTGCTTGCCCAGAGTCTTAGAAAAAGTTCGCGAAAAGCGTCCTGGAAGCAAAGTCCTCTTTCACCACGATAACGTATCCTCATATTCCGCTAAGTTAACAGAAGCCTATTTGAAGGCTTCAAATGTGGAACTGATGACGCATCCGACTTACAGCCCGGACCTTTCACCTTGCGACTTCTTTTTGTTTCTAAAAATTAAAGACGAACTTAGAGGCACACGATTTACGAGCCTTAAATCAGCGGTGAATGCGTTCTATGAATCCATTGATAAGGTCCCTAAGGAAGACTGGTCCAACAGATTTGTACAGTGGTTTCAGCGATTGCAAAAACAACAATAAATGTATCGTAAGTCTCTTATCTACTCTTATTTATCAGAATAAAGAAACTTTCAGTATGCCCTAAGTATAAAATATCTTGAAAAGCACCCCACGATTTTGTTATGATAAAATGATTTTCTTTTTGAATTTACAGTAAATTATTTTCTACTTTTTAGTTCGGCTAGTTACTAAAATGTGTTTTTTAGTTTTTTGATGATTGTTTTCTCATTAAGTCTAAAGAAGTACGTAAGTAAGTCACATATGCTTCAGCATACGCCTCTTAGTACGTAGCAAAAGACAGCCGAGACAGCCGTTAATCCTGAAGACGTGATCAGGGTAATCGGCCAAATTTATCAAATTCTTGTATTGACATCGGTCCTTGATAGGTGTGCAAAGTTTCAATTCAATTTGACGTTTTGAAGTGGGTCAAAATCACGTTCGAAGATTCCGTTACATACATACATACCACGATAATAAAAGCGTGTTAAAAAGAAATGTGTTTTTTTTATATCGACTCCATTAATCTGTGGTCTCACTTTTGGACATCAGTAAAAGAAAAAGGTCAAGGTTAAAGGCAGCTTGCCAGCTATAACTTCAAAGGCATGCTTCAATATTATTTGATGTCATATTCCCATTTCTTTTTACGACTAAAATAACAAAAACCCGAACTCAAGTTTACGAATCATTAGTAAATTACGTATTCTGTGACTCGAAACTTCAATTTAATTATGACATCTAATAAAATTAGATGACATAATTTCAGCGATCCACCTATAAAACATTAGATGATATAGATAACTACCTACCTAATGCAAGGTTTTTAATTACATATTTCGAATCGGTCAGTCTTTTCCGCAACCATTGACAAGAGAGCTACGGCTAAACGCTTTATTTGTGTTAATGTGTACCTACACTAATTTTAGTTTTATAACTTTATAGACAGAAACCAAACAAAACGTATTACGGTAACTTTAATAAGCCCCAAGATAAACATTAGGATCATTTATAGTTGTAAAAACCCCGTTAGCTAGCTTTACTTAACCAAATTTTTGGTTAACGAGCCATAAAATGCAGTTAATAACGGTTAATTATTCGACTGCAACCTATAAAGATGATACCTGCTGCATTTAAAGATTTTTAAGTCATTTCATGCAAATGCAAAAAAAATGAATATAATTCAAACTACTGCTATAAAGTAGGTATAACGATAATATCTACTAACGTATATTTTAGTTATAAACATATAACATTACAATATATTCAAACATAAGTGAGCCCCTCACCTATGTCAGAATAATAAAGTTTAGCAATTGTATGATTGTAAGTAATTTGTTTCTAAAATAAAGAGGATATTAAAAGCAGTAACTATATGTACATATAATTTATTTTAGTTAAAAATGTATTCTTACACGCATTATATGTTTATCAGTACATACAGCGATAGCGACGAGAATAATGAATTTACTGCGAGCCGGCAGAGTCCCGCCAGCGACCATTAGTTTAAGGCGTCCATTACACGCTCATGCAAACGACGAACGAACGACTCCAATAGTCCCACGTAAAAAAAGTAATGACAGACAACCTGCCTGCCTGTTCGTGATTAATAAAAATCGACATTAAACTCTCAACCTTATTTACAGTTACATATACCAGAGGGTTTGCAGAGAATACATGACATGTGCTCAGTCAAGATTATATCAATGTTTATAAATAAAAAAGTTAGGTGAAAAATAGGCTATCAAGAAGGGATTATATTCATATTTTAGATGACATAATTAGTATCAATTCGGCCAAGACCTTGCAATTTCACTTAAAATCAACCCATCTTATACAGCAATGAAAACTTAAATACATTATAGAAATCAAACGTATATTTTGTGTTTATACTTATGTTGAGAATTCCTATATCCCAACAATCAGGACGAGTTTCAAATTTTTTTGCGGCTGTAATACGTCTGTAACATTATAAAGTTTAAAGTTGCGCGAAAGTACACGTGTCTCTTCACTGTGATCCCACATCGCAGACTTCTTACATTTAGGTTTAAACATACCTACTCTATGTCGCTAACTGATGATGCTGACTGATGATCCTGACGGATGATTGATGAAATGCAGCTACACGTTCAGCCAAAGTACATGGCTAAGGCTGCACAATATAAAAATATCAAGATTTTGGGCAACTAATGTTATGCTAACATCAAAGACCGTATTATACATAAGGTTATCCTTTAGTCACAGTCTTGATAGTGGTAAAACTGACATTAAAACTTACCGTGTACTAGAGGCCTAAGTAAGCGCGCCAAGCGTCGAGCAGTTAAGCCGGTTAATCGCTAGTCGGACTCGTACAACAGACAGAGACAAATATAGTGACGCAGATACGGCAGATAGGGCTTGATATTTTTGTCCTCGGTGAGTCGGTTTCCTACATCGTTCGTTCATTCATTGAGTTGAGCAGTTCGTACTTTGTCGTGTTCTCATGTTGTTATACGTACAGTAACACAGGCGTTGCCGCAAGTTTCTTGCCGTCATAACTTTGAATATTGTTTGATAATAAATTCTGCTAGCTGCGCTCTCATTGATTGTTTACTTGTGTATAGTTTATAAATAGATAAGTGTTTTTACCAATCATGTGTAAAGCAGAGACTAAAAGTAAACCATTGAAATTAAAACTGAAAGTGTTACATGTGATCAGATTAATTGCTGCGAGTATAGTGAGATTCATCTTTAGTTTATACTATGGAGTTGAAGGTGAGAAAATACCACCGATTTATGATGACATCCTAAAACAGCCGGCCATAGTTGTGGCAAGGAAAATCCGGTATAAAGAAGTGAGTAGCGATATTATTCCTCGAGTATTTTGATTTTTATAGTGTTTAAGATAATACTGATTCATAGTGAGTTGGCATCACTAAACACAGAATAAGTGTTCAGTTCAGCATTCAATGAGTTCCTTTTAGTTTTACTAGTTTAAACTTTTTTTTATGTTTAATCTGGTCTAGAATTGTTATTACACGTTGCTAAATGACGCATTAGCACGTTGATAACATCAGGTAGGTAGGTACCTAATGAGAAAGATTTTTAAAATGTATTTTAATTAGACTTGCAACGAATATTCGGTTACTATTCGGTATTCGGCCTATTCGGCTGCTTTTATTATATTCGGCCGAATACCGAATATCTACATATTATTCGGCCGAATACCGAATACTTAAATAATATATTTTGTCATTGAGAAATAATTGGTAAAATGAAAAATTAAAATCGATTGATTACGTATATATTCATATTTTCATTTCTGTTATAATCATTTAAGTAGTCATTGGTGCATAACACAGGTGCATAATCATCTTCTGAATAGGAAAAATGGAGGATTCTATGTATTTGAATTATTGTGATAATCAAAATTTAGAAGGGTTCTCATTTCTATTATAATCATTTATTAAGTAGTCATTGGTACATAAAACAGGTACATAATTTAATTCACGTCTGTACAAGTTTTTGGCGCTAAAATCCAGCCGAATACTTTTGCCTAATATTCGGCTATTCGGTCAGGGGCCTCGCCGAATATTCGGTATTCGGTATACTGCCGAATATACTATTCGTTGCAAGTCTAATTTTAATTAACCCAGAACCGGCGACTTCTGTATATTTGTTATTGCAAGCTTCATATGAACTAAGTTAAATTGCTTATCGTTTTAGTAGATTGGTGTAGTATCGAAACAAACATTAATTATACTAAACATAAGATTAACTATAACTACGAAAGCTAAGTTCCCGACATGGCAATTTCAAGTTTTTTTATTTTATGGAATAGGGAGCACACGAGCAGACGGGTCATCTGATTATAAGTGACCACCGCCACCCATGAACGCCTGCAAGTCAGGAGTCACAAGCGCTTTTAAACAGTTTAAAGCGATTTAAATAATCTTCTTTTTTTTTACTTCCTTTTTTGTTGCTAACGACTAACGACATAGGAATTTTTCACGTAAACTTAAAATGTTTATCATACGGATAAACAATCTTGTAAGAACACATGTTACTTATATGATTTTTTTACTATCTTTTAAGCTAAGATAAGCGTCTCGCGGTACCTACTTAGACACTATGATAGTAACCATACATGAATCAATAGATCAAGAAACAGATAACACTTCATTTGTAAGCTATTGCTTGCAATTTCAGTAGGTTGTATACCAACATGGTATTTTTCGTGTAAAAAGGCGATCTCAATGCGTGAAGTGTGAACTGATACGACTTACATTGACATTTATTGCTCAAAAAAGCAATAGACAACAGACACCAGTAGTGGTGACCTATTTATTTGCAAGATCAAACATTTGCTAAGCATCTGCCTTCCTGAAGTGATCTAGCAATTTAAAACAACACTAAGTTGTATATACCTTCTAAAATTTCGCAAAGCAGATCCTCTAATTCGAAAAGTTGTAAGATATATTACAGTGCATGTCCGGCCATCAACGCGATCATGTAATGGGTATGATACTAACATAATTAAAGATCATTGTACCTTTGATACTAAAATAATTGATATCATAATACGTACGTTACCCAACAACAATTTATTGTTGCCGTGTATAAGATCTATTCATTTCGTGTATATCATGAACAGTAAGAAACATGTGGGTATAATGTGTATGCATCAGGTATGCGTATGGCAATTATTTAAAATTTGTACTTTCGGCAGCACTAGATACACATTTATGTATCACCAGATGCGTTATCGGATGTAATTGTGTAGATATTTGTCATCATACTTAACTTATTAAACTGAATCTTTATCAAAAAAATAATCTGATTGGCTATATCACATTCATTTATTCAGTCTATCACATGGGTAAACAAGGGCAATCGATCATATTTTAAATCTATGGAGAGTTCGGTTTGACACTTCGACTTTGGCTTCCCTCTGTCAAACTAATCAGGGACAGTGCTTTTTTGGCAACGAGTAAGGTCGAGCCAAGCAACTCTTTCCAAGTAGCCTATTGTAAGACTAATGAGATCCGTGACTACCAAAAAGCTGTCAGTTTAATATTTTACATCTAATTTAGCTGTTTCGAACTAAAGTATAATTTCAAACTATAAGTACGAAATACTTATCAATACTTTTACAAGAATATAATATGAGATATGCACAGGCAATAAAACGTCCAGTTTGCTGCTGGGCCAACGTCGTAAATAGTCCTCTACTTAGTTTAAATGGACTCACAAAGCGTCTCAAATTGGCTGAAACCACGTAACGGGCCGTATGACGAGTAACCCGATATAGATACAACACTCAATATGGAGAGAACTGATTATTTTCTTCTCTTATTTATTTAATAATGGCAAGGAAAGATTTTAATCCAATAGTAATATTAATATAATAATTGAACTAAAAAGTTTTATTATGTATCTTTTTAAGATTTTCTTCGACGATAACAGCAGACACATTAAAAATGCTTGCCGCGGGACAAGTAGAACAATCTATACTAATATTATAAAGCTGAAGAGTTTGTTTGTTTGTTTGAACGCGCTAATCTCAGGAACTACTGGTCCGATTTTAAAAATTCTGTCAGTGTTAGATAGCCCATTTATCGAGGAAGGCTATAGGCTATATATCATCACGCTAAGACCAATAGGAGCGGAGCACCAATGAAGAATGTTTCAAAAACGGAGAAAATTTACTACTATTGAGAGACGCACACGAAGTTGCGCGGGTCAGCTAGTGTTGTTATAAAACTGTAACTGTCTTAGTTAAAGTCACAAGCGCTGAGTTGTAAAAGCGATCTGGACTAGTTTAAGAGTTAATTAAAGAAACTGGAACAGCAATATTCTTGTCCCCATTCTGTTCCAAAATACCGGTAGGACAACTAACGGAGTCTTACTGTTTTCCCGGAGCATGGAGAGATCAAAACAGTTCAATAAAAATGAAGTGGTAGCTATGAGTCCCAAAAGCATGAACTCATTATCGACGAATTCAAAATCAAAATTATTTATTTCAAATAAACCAATTATAGGTATTCTTAAATCGTCAGTTGCGAAGCTAGTAGCTTATTCCAATACGCAGATCCTATGGAGAATATCCATTCACACTCTTCAAAACAAGTTAATTATTTGTTTTTAAAAGTAAATCGTTACATTGTTTGTAAGTTAAAATCAAAATAATTATGAAAACGATGTAATATTTCAAAAATATTAACAATCGGGCAAAATAAGTAAGAGCAGTCCGAAGGCAACCAGGCGCGGTCAATGGCTCCTGTTCAAAAGCACGGAACACGTGACAGCCATTTATTGCATCGTCTATCTCGAACATATAAAAGTAAGCCTCTGTTGGCAAGACTTTTAAGCGAGCACGACATATTCAGAGCTGTTAGGTAATATAGAAAATTTACTTAATAAGTGACTATAAAGTTCTCACGTGAGCACATATACTAGACAATGTCTTGGTTGTGGGAAATTAATAACAATGAAATTCATTAATACACTGAAATATGTCACTAAAAACAAGATAAGTGCCTACTCATATACAGAATAGTCGTAAAGCAGTCATATCGGCTATATAAATCATTTAGTCTATACTATGCCCGTGTACATAATGTAATCTTAAATATTTATAACAAGTAGAATTGAACGCAATACTCTACTGAATTTTGGGTGGCTTAATTTATTTCCATTTCTAGTACTAAAATTGTCTTTTACAACTTCTAGTAAAGGGATAAATTTTTTTAGGCATACCTACATGGTTTTTTCATAAATATTTACAATAAAATATTATATACAAAAAAAAATTACACTTTATTACATTATATAATATACAAAAAAATATTACAAAGCCCCGCCAGGATGTTATTTTCCTCAATATAATAGATCCATAAGGGAATCGCGACTACGCAGATTTTAAATAGCAGAATGAATTATAGTCCTGATACGCTGATTGTGTGTAATAGCATTTCACTCAACGAAACAAGTACGTCCTAAAGCATTGATGACCACCAGCGCGTCATATTAAAAGAATACACACAAAAGGTGCATCAAATCATCGAATCATCAAACCGCAGTTTTACTCAAATGTTAATCACCCGCTTCATATTGTATCAATTAGTTACCTTGACCTCTAAGGCAGCTACCCAGTATAAGTCATGTTATTGTCTGTGTTATTTACGTCGAAAGATACTTAATTTTATTACATATAAATTTAATGTTCTAGGTATTTATTACCTAAAATAAATAATGGTTTAAAAACTATTAGATCTTTAATAGGTCATGATACTAGTTAAGTACGTAAAATGCAAAATATCTTTCCCAAACTGAATTAAGGACTCTTGTTTCATTTGAATATTACAGATCACAAGCGTGGAAGTTCTGGAGGCATGTATAAGGAGAATTAAAGATACAAATTCTGCTCTAAACTTTTTCGTCCAAGATCGTTATGAACTCGCTTTAAAGGAAGCACAGGCTGCTGACGAGCTCGTACGAAGCGGTTCAAAGACCACAGCTCAGTTAGAAGAAGAGAAACCGTTCTTAGGCGTCCCATTTACTACCAAAGACTGCATCGGCGTTGAAGGTAAGAAAATATGATCTGCCGTTTGTTGTCGACCGATGCACTTTTAAGTTAGGTACACTGTCAATGTAATAACGAGTATAAACTAGATTACATATTCTAAAATTTTTTAAATCTTCAAAAATAACGAAATGGAACAAAAATTCTCCTCTATGAAAAGCCTGCGTACAGTTAAACGTACTGTGCTGGAATGGCGGCTAATGATGATATAGGACTTGCGTCTTTTTATAGCGCTTTGACTGTTTCTCGATGAGAACAAGGTCGTTTATATAATTTAATGTAAGCCATTTTATGTACAAGGCTTAACAAAGTTCATTCCGGTTTAATTTGAAACTGAATGCAAATTTCGTTAGAACACTATTTAAAACTATTGTGCAAATATATAAATCCGAAAACTTCCACAGATGTTTTCAATCCTAACCGGTATTTTCATGGTACCAAATTACGATTCGAGTTTTAAAAATCTTATAACAATATGGCATAGCTGATATTAATAAAGCAAGTGTTTGTTTAAGTCTGACAAGTCTTAAACTACGTATGTATGCAAATGTTTAGCACATACTTATTTATAGATTTTATTGCCATCATAACATATTTTTTAATAGAGCTGAAATGATAGCTGTAGTTTTCACTTAAACTAATTGTGTAGTCGTTTTGTTAATTTAAATGTGTGTATCAGTTCTTTTCACTGTCAATTTATTAAAAGACAAGTTCGACATTTAATTTAATTCACATTCACAGTATTTACCACTGTGTACTTGTTATCTAGAATAAAATTATTATTAATGTAACATTTGGGCGAACGAGCATTTTTGTTACCGTGACTGTTTAATCACTCTCGGCCGGCCGTAATATATTATATGAAGAAGAAGTTTCGCGCACGTTACGATGTACTAGCATGGTGACATTGTGTACGCCGACCCGCGACGAAACCTTCAGTAACAAAATTGACACTATCCACGTATTCCTTTTCTGCCCTTTTCACATTTGCTATCTAGCTAGCGACAGAGGCAGAAAGCATCAGCGACCGATGTCGTGATTTTCCACGATGTTGATATTGATAACGATGTCCTTGACAACGATGATATGGCCATCTGGTCCCAAAATAGGCAAAGCCTGAGGTTAACAGACTGATGACAAACATACTTATTTATTTCCAATTATATAATAATAAGTCACCGTAAAATTGTAAATACCGTTAGATAATAAACTGTGGAATGTTTATGAACCGAACCGAACCGCCGCGCCGCAAAGAATGGTTATTTTTTTATGTCCACCCAGATTTCTTCATGCATCTTAATGTAATGTTTTAGAAAAAGAAGATCAATCATTAAAAAATGAACGATCAGACAGTTTCACTTAGATAAATTATAATTAATCTAAAAATCAGCGGACCCGACAGACGTTGTCCTGAACACACTTCTTAACTAAAAAAACATTTTGTAGTGGACCGAATTGTAAATGTAAATCATTCTAGAATCCACTTGAACACACACAAAAAGACACAAAACATCAAAATCGGTCCAGCCGTTTAGGAAGAGTCACTTAGTCACATACACATACACAGAAAAATTATAGATATAAAGAAAATGCGATAAACTGTCAAAAGAACAGTCTTTTGTCATAAACTGTCATAAACTGTCAAAAGAACAGTTCACAGGAACTGTCATAGTCTTTTGACAGTTTATAACCTAATTGTGTTTACAATTTCACGGTCGCATATACATGTTATAATTAAATTCAGGCTCAGACCAAATTATCGTACTCATCACACAATTATTTATCTTAGGAATCGAACTCACGACCTTAGACTTAGTAGTTCGGGTCACTGACCAATGGACCAACAGGCCAGCCAACTCTGTTTAGCATAACTTGTCGTCACGACATAGGACCAAAACAGTTGTTTTTAATGTACATGTGTAAATAAAAAAATATCATTCGAAAACAATAAAAAAACATCCTTGGGGCTTATCGAAACCTGTATAGTATAGTAGATATAAAATATTCCGCTAACTGGTCTGTCAGTACTGCCGATATTTTCTTTTACGTCTCAAAGTCCGAGATTGACCGCTTTGTCTAAATCCATGTCCACAAATGACGCTCAGATTTCTAAGTTTAGTGAGCATAGTCCACTTTGGTTAGATGCCGTGAGAGGGTCAAAAAATATTTATTTATTTATTATAATTACCTGTGCGCGCTCTCTCTTAGCGTCAATTTGCATAAAGTAGATGGAACTGCACGGATTTCGTAGTAGTTTAAGCGGTCACCTCGCCGCTTCCTAGGTTCGATCGCCACATGAGACAACGCTATGTGTGATCCAGAAATTGCAACTACGGTTCGAATTCAACTTTTAAAATTTTAAGAAATTTCAACTGCAATCCGCCGACTGTTGCTACTTCGGTGTAAACTGAACCACACACAACATTTTTACACGCTTTATATTAGCTTCACTTGTATGTTTGTTTGTATGTTTGTAACCGACTCCTTTGGGCTTGATTTTGACTGACTTTAAAAGGTCAGAATTCGTTCAAACTTTGTAGATATATCGAGGACCGATGACAATACACTAATTTAAAAAAATAAAAATAAAGAAAATTATAGTTTTAAAAAACTAAAAAACACGCTGTCTATAGAAATTTTTAGTTTTTTTAAACAATTTTTTTTTGTTATTCTAAGGCCTAAAGTGACTTTGATTATTACTATCTTTTAAAATTATTTAACATCTATTTTTACAGGTTTACAACAAACTTCCGGTGTAGTGCACCGAAAGGACTACGTCTGTGACAAAGATAGTGAAGTCATTATGTTGTTACGTGAAAAAGGCGCCATTATCATCGGTCTAACGAATGTACCTGAACTTTGCATGTGGTAAGTTTCTAGAATGTAATAACCTAACTTGACATATTCAATCTGTATAATTATAGGTTGACGTCAAGGTACAGTCAATAACGTAAACCTTTGAATATATACTGATTTACAAAGGTTCTTCTACGAAATTATTACACACGTATTGATTTTTAACATTGTTCTTTTTTTAGTTTTAGTGCTGCAGCAGTAGGCACATTAGTTATTTTGCTACTACAGGTACAATTTATAGCAAACTTGTGTTTTACTTAACTACATTTAAGATACAGAAAATTTTGATCTGTATCTTCTCTGAAATTTTTGGCAATAATAGCCTACATAGCCTAAGAGTCTTGGTAGTAAAGCCATCTGTTGTCCGCGCTCTTTTTAATAGATACTATTTTCTTAGATTTACTAGTAGGTACTATTTACAAAATTTCTGAATATACATTTCCAAGTCATAGACGGGTATTGAGCTCCTTTACTATTTGTGGTGTCGTCTTTCCTTACAGCCTTGGCCAAAAGTATTAGGCACCCCAGAAAAATGCACAATTCATGTTTATTGATTGAACAATGAATAAATGCTTATCTTAGATGGCATGCCGGTATCACAAATAACTTCCTAGAAAAGCAAGCAGCTATCTGTTATGGTCATAAAACATCTGGTGACTGAAAACAAAGGATTTGTTTTTATGCGTTCTTATCAGTCAATGTTTGGTCACCTGTGTTCAGGACTAACGAGTAAACAAGCTTTTATTTCTAACATAGTGATTAAATTGACGCGTAATTTATTTAAAAATGCCGAAAAGAAGTGAAATTCGTTTGGAAAACCGAGTAAAAATACAACTTTTGCATGAACAAGGGAAGTCGCAAAAAGAAATTGCTAAGTTAGTGAAATGTTCGCGTTGCGCTGTGCAATCAAACGGTCTGGTTAGTATGGCGGATGAGGGAGAGCTTCCAACCCCAGCTCTTGCAGCTTGGAGACTGTCTGTTGCGCAGTATGGGGTCGCGCGTTGTCGTGAAGGAGCAGTGGGGACGACCGATTGACCAAAGCTGGTTGCGGATGTGACCACCAGACCTTGCACCTACCGACTATTACTTTTTCCAAAATTTAGACAACTTTTTAGTGGGTAAAAAATTCAATTCCCGAGAGGCAGTACAAAATGCCTTTGAAGAGTTTGTTGCCTCCCGTCCAGCTGTTTTTTACAAGAAGGGCATCAATAAACTGCCAATGCGTTGGCAAAGATGCGTCGATTGCATGGGTGATTACTTCGAATAACAGAAATAAAAAAGTTTGAAAAAAAAGTACTTTCACTTATTGCATACAAAGCGGCAATTTCATAGGTAAAGACCTATTATTTGGAACGCCAGCTGTGACCTTCGTGAGGCGACGTGTGGGCGAAGAATACCATCCAGATTGCGTCGTACCGACAGTAAAGCATGGAGGAGGCAGCATAATGATCTGGGGCTGCATCGCTGCTGATGGGGTTGGCGAAATGTTTGTTTGCGAAGGTCGTATGAACAGCGAAAAGTACATAAAACTGCGCTTATGCCTTCGCTAACGAGTATTTTCGGCGATACCAGCTTAGAGGGAGTTATATTCAAGCAAGACAATGCACCATGTCATAAGTCAGCGACTAAGATGCGTTGGTTTACTGAAAACAAAATTGACTTGTCTGAATGGCCAGCACAATCACCAGATTTGAACCCAATTGAACATCTTTGGAGCATTTTGAAGCGCAATATTAAAGAGCATAGTATCACATCGAAAATGGCATTAAAAATGCGTTAGTACAAGAATGGCATGCCATTACAAGGGAGGATTGTACTAAGCTTGTACGCAGCATGCCAGCTAGAATTAGTGCAGTAATTAAATCCAAAGCCGACTAGATTTTATGTTTTTTTCATTCTTTTTTGTGTAATTTAATGGTAATAAATCAATTCAAAAAGTATACCTAAGTTGTTTTTTTCCTTTATTTTAAGTAAAATGTAGGGTGCCTAATACTTTTGGCCAAGGATGTATTTAAGATAAACTTGGCATAGAAAGTTACTTAGTGTGCTTAATAAACCGAAAGTGACTGACAAAGAATGCTTCTTTATACGCCACAAGTCTGTGTCGTTAGAGCTGAAAGAAACGTAATTACCCCTCTGTCGCTGTCGGATTTCATATCCTACATTATTAGGGATTGTCAGTGTGCCTATAGGTATATATATGTGTGCGTATATGGTACACCGTAAGTGACCGCTTTTCGTACAGTTACTGTGTTATTAACAAAGTGGCACAGCATACATACATACTGCCTTGGTGGCGAAGTGCTAGCGTATGCGAATGCTGTGCTGAGGTCTTGGGTTCGATTCCCGGGTCGGACCAAATGTTCGTAAGATATGCAACTATTTTTATTTTTTATTTCTAAGTATAATATGTAAGACGTATGTATGTATTTACAAAAAAAAAGTATATTAAGTAGTATTCTATCAGTCAATCTAGCTTTCATATTACAAGCTCTGCTTAGTTTGAAACTAGATGGCGTTATGTGTCAGATGTCTGAACATTTTATTATTTATACACATATTACACATACACCTACTTACCATACCACACCATACCTATACCCCCGAAGGGGTAGGCAGAAGCGCATAACAAACACATTTGCCAAATACAATTTTAATTTTTGTAATAGGTGAAAGAACTTTTGGCGTCAACCGGACACTAGGGATTTGATGAGAAAATTGAAAGTAGGTATATTGACACGCAATGTTAAATAAAATGGGACAAAAATGGTAGAAAAGGGATAATATTGCTTTTACGGATGGATATGGAAATGTAAATCGAGAGGGTCAGTCGAAAGACTGAGTCCTCTAACTATAAGCATGTTAATTATATGCAAGTTCTGGATCGTGGCCCTATTTACAACAAAAAAATTAATACAGGTTGTCTGCAAGTTTCAGACAATGAATCTCAGAAAAAGAATTTTCTGAAAGTAATCTGTTAAATAAATGTAAACCGTCCTGGTTATCATTTATTTAACAGATTACCTACTTTTAGTATCGACGATTTTAGCTGTACACACATATAGTGCACATATAGTGAAAATTACCGTCATGAGAACAGGCAACAGTAGATATGCTTCCGTTCGGTAATCAATACAATTGTTAACCACTTAAAATCAATACTTCAATAAGTGGAATCGTTATTCTACTAAAACGATATGTTGTTGGGTATTTAAAAGCTGAACTGCCATCACTGCGCAATTTAGAGCTAAGTAGTTACTCAGTTGATACTTTAAAATAGTTTATTAGTCTAGTCCCTATAGCTTAGCAATTTACAGCTGTTCGTGACACTACTGTTAATACACCACAATGTGTGCGTGTGTTGATTACATCATTCACTTAGTTTTATGAAAAAAGCCAACACTATTAATTTCGTGCTATTTGCATTTTGGAACACATATGACATTATAAACCTCTTTGTAATAATAATTTTGTTTTTAACTTTTTACATTAGATGATCTGAGAGATATTCCTGCTAATAGTCAATCTACCTCCAAATCAATAGTGGCCTTGAAACAAGAGTAATTGTCTAAGGATTTATTTTATGACTCATCGCTTGTAATGCAGAATAAAGAAACCTAATGGTACTGTGTAGTTAATGAAAAATATTTAATCCAATTTCATCTTTGTTTTTTTTATATCAAGCAGACTTTGTTTTGACTTTCTTTGTTTATATTGAAAAAGGGTTTGACAGGTTTGACGCTTTGTTTGAAAATATTTATTTATATATAGAAAGCACTATTGCGCTTTTCGAAACACCGAATTATGCAATACTAGCTTTTACCCGCGGCTCCACCCGCGTGAATGTTGTTTATCGCGGTAAAAAGAAGCTTGTCTTTTCTCAAGAATCAAACTATCACCATACCAAATTCCCATTACAAACTTCCGCCCCCTCAGAGGATGATTTCTGGGACAAAAACTACCATATGTCCTTTCCCGGGACTCAAAACTATCTCTAAACCAAATTTCATCTTTCATCCAAATTTCATCGGTCCAGCGGTCGGTAATCGTGAAGAGCTAACAGACAGACAGACACACTTTCGCATTTATAATATTAGTATGGATGATATTAAAGTCGACGTTGTAAACAATATTTCCTTCTTCTTATAATTGTCTACAATCTGTTTTGATCGTGTTTGCTTCAAGGTGGGAGACTCACAATCACATACACGGAAAAACCAAAAATCCTTACAACACCACAAGGATAGTTGGCGGATCATCAGGAGGTGAAGGGTGTTGTCAAGCAGTTGGTGGCAGTGTGTTTGGCATTGGTAATATATTCACTTCATATGTAATTTTATTTTTATAAATGTACTAGCTTTTGAACACGGCTCCGCCGTCGCGTGTAAGTCAGTTATCTGTAAGTACCTCGATGTCAAATTTCATTAAAATCAGTTCAACGGTTTAGATGTGAAATCGTAACAGACAAACAGTTACTTTAGCATTTATAATATAAGTGGATTAGTGGATAATAAGGGTTCTTAAAGATAATATAATCAAATTATTTTTGTTCAATTGTTTTTAATTCTCACAAAAACACTGTTTTTTTTCCTTTTGACAAATCGATAAGTAGTAAAAATTTTTGGTCACCTATTCAAAATATTAATCGACTTTGAAGTGTTTCAATCAATCAACATGTTCTATTTCGTTAAATATAAGTATTTATATTACCCTCGTTTAATATACTCGTATTACTCGTATAAAATGATTTATTATTGTTAGGATCTAGTGTGCAAAGCATCATCATCAACTAAAAGGTTTTCCCACGTTTCAAACTTATTGAAATATTTAGAACCACGTAGTTTTAGCGTGATCATGAGACTCGTAAGCTGCTTGAACATTGGACTGCACGGATACCTTAGTGGTTTAAGCGGTAACCTCACCGCTGCCTACTGCGCTGAGTGTTGTGGGTTCGTTCCCCACATGGGACAACACCTTGTGTGATCCACAAATTCTTGTTCCGAGTCTGGCTGTTCTTTATGTCCGTTTCATGTATGTTTGTAAAGTCCCTCGCGACACAGGATGAAGGTATACCTAGTTGCGAAAGTTTTCATAAACATAACTATAAATATAGGTAATATAATTTACATATAAATTACAATGAAAAAAGGGAACCTCCTCCAGTGATCAGTATCATACTAATACGTCATAGCATTTATTTATTACTGTTTTATCTATTTCACTTTCTTCGAATAACCTTGGCCCACATCTCTGTAGTTAAATAAATTAGTCATAGCTAGCATTATAAAAGATCAAGCCAATTAATTCAAAAATCGATTTTATAGGTTTAAATTATGAACATACATCAACGGACTTTATGAGGATTTGTAGGATGAGATCGAGATCATACTTTTCGTCTATAACTCGACATAAAATATCGCTTTATAGTCCTACATATAAAATGGCATACGAAAAAACCTCTACTTGCATTTTAAAATAATAAATTCATCATCATCATCAACAGCCTTTAGTAGTCCACTGCTGGACATAGGCCTCTCCTAAGAAAGGAGGTTTTGGCCTACTATACCACGTGGGCGCGACGGTTTGGTATAGGGTTTGTTTCAAGTTTTCCTACCCTTTGTAGTGCTGTTGTCCTGCGTAGTTTGCTGCCTTAGTCAGCTCTTACGACACCCACGGGATGAATAGTGGAATACACCCCACACATTCTTAATCTTTCACCACCCCGACATAATATAATAAATGATTACTCTTTTAATTACAGGCTCAGACATCGGTGGTTCAATTAGAATTCCCGCTTACTTCAATGGAATCTTCGGTCACAAACCATCACGCAACATTGTCTCTAACAAAGGACAATATCCTTATCCAGAGACGGACTTTGTAAATTCATTTTTAGGTAAGTTATATTTTAAGTATCTACTGGGGTTAGTAGTACTTCCTCTTAACATACCACATTTCACCGCAAATTAAGATTGGCTCACAATAGTATTCGGCTTATATTGATACTATGTAAATTTATAATTGATTTCAATCAATATTTTCTTCTAATAATAATATATGATGAAAACGAATAAATCTACTTTATCGATATAAATATAATCCTATTATCGTAATAATTTTGTTGATTTAATCTAAATACTTTGGACGTTACAAACGTTCATTTCTTTAAAAACATTGCTATTTTTTTATCTATTATATAAATATATATAGTATGTTTATTATTTCCAATTTCAATAAATACGTTTTCCCCGAATGTCCTGCAACCAAGAATTTTTTTATTTATATAGATGCATATTAATGTTTGCTTATGATATTAGTTTTAAATATTAAATCAAAGAATAATTGTAAATCTTTATAAAAAAAAGAGTTATTTACGAAGCTATTTTAAGCAATACAGCATTTTTCCTTAGCTAATTAAATAGGTTAGATACGCTGTCCATTTAATATAGATCTAAATTGCCCGTTGTATACAAAGATATCATATAGTATAGTCTAATCATAATAATATTATAATTAATTACTTCACACTGACACCACACAGTATCTATTAGTATCTACATTGTACCCGTGCGAAGCCGGGGCGGATTGCTAGTATAATATACAACACATTTCATTTCAGGCATAGGGCCCATGACTAGATATGCAGTAGATATGAAGCCGATACTGAAAATTATATCTAGGGAAAATGCTGAAAAGCTCAAGTTGGACCAACCTGTCGAAATAAAAAAATTAAAGTTTTATTACCAATACAGTGCATCTGCACCCTTGGTAGACCCTGTAGACCCAGAGATTAAATCAGCTTTAAAGAAGGTTACTGAATTCTTAAAAGAACAGCACAGTTTAGAAGCAGAGGAAAAGAAAATACCATTACTTCGAAAGACTATACCTATTTGGCTAACAAACATGAAAAGTCCGATAAAATTTGGAGAATACATCTTGGAGAAAGACAGTTTTGGAGCTGTATGTAAAGAGATCGTGAAAAATTTATTTGGACTTTCTCCCAACACGTTCATTGGTCTAATTCTTGCTTTGTTAGATCACACTGGTCCTGAAAAGGATAGTAAAAAATATGGACATTATCTTGAGCTGCGAGATAACTTGGAGGCTATCTTTACTGAAATGCTTGGTGACAATGGAGTGTTTCTTTATCCTACTCATCCAACAACAGCCCCATATCATAATGAACCATTGTTCAGACCGTTTAACTTCTGTTACACATCTGTCTTTAACTGTTTAGGCCTGCCAGCTACCACTGTGCCTTTGGGACTAAGTAAAGATGGCCTTCCAATTGGAATACAAGTTATAGCAAACTATAATCAGGATAGAATATGCCTTGCTGTGGCTGAAGAACTAGATCGAGCATTTGGCGGTTGGGTAGAACCTCAAAAAGCGTAGGTTGTCATCATTTTAATATTATGTGTTAGCGATATCATAAATCACTTATGCAACAAGGTTGAAAGAGCTGGTACAACTAAGAGTATTTGTCGATAGCAACATAAAGAAGTAATGACCAAAACAAGAAGCAAATGTCATGTCTTATATTCAACCTATTAATTGCGACTGTATATTTGTAGAAGTACATACATTGTACCTATATTTTTCTATTACTAATACATTAATGGTTGATTCTCTGAAAGCACGTCAACTGCTGTCTAAACAAAGCTTTACAAAAATTTCATAATATAAAATAAGTACAGAAAACAAACATTAGAATATTCAGTTGTAATTTCTTGTACAGAAGTTTCCAAATCTGTAGAATCGCTGTTGCCTGTGCTCGCTCTCGACCTGCTTTTGATTTATGTTTATTATGATATATTTTTTATACGAGAGGCCTATGTCCAGCAGTGGACTGCGATAGGCTGATGATAATGTTTTTTTAGTATATTTTTTATAATATAAACATTTGTGCACAATATTTTATAACAATATTTCTTCTTTCTTACGTACTTTCTTTTTAGATTATTACTTTCTTACGACATGAATAACACCTAAAATCGATTTATTTTATTTTACTAAATAAATTATATCTTTACTTTTATTTTCGGGACTGATCTCAATAGCTCCAAAAGTTCATTACCAAAATAATACTTTTCACTGTGATTTTTCATCACTGTTGCCAATAAAATAACCCGTGAAATTACACGATTTACTAATTCTAACCGCAACATCAACCAGACTGAAAACATCTTTGCAAAGAATCATCTATTAGTCAAATTATTTGGGATTTATATGCATTTTATTGGCAGCTGGAAACTTAAGACACAGAATTCGGACAGTTGCGACTCCGTATTTGCAGAATTATGATCATGACTACATGATCATAATACTGCAAATACGGAGTCCGGAAGGGGAATGATGAGTATGTGACAGTTACATACATACATATGATTATGTACGTAAGTACCTACCTATAATTTAATTATTGGGCGCACTTGATGACCATTTAGTATTAGCTGCTTAAATTAGAGATGTCCTGAGAGAAAATATATAATGAACAACGTGTTAATGTGATATTTCAAGCCTGTTTGTGAATGTTTGTGTTTTCTAAATATTTTTCACAAATGAATTTATAATAACCTACTAATATAAGTTTAATACAATACATATTCTTGTTAGTTGACAATAGAAATCGTATTAAAACAGTTTCCACATAATAAGTTTTTTTTTTATTTGTCCTATTAAAGTGGTGACGGATTAAGAATACGGGTTGTCACCACCCCCATTCATCCCGTGGGTGTCGTAAGAGCCGACTAAGGGAGCAAACTACGTAGGACAACAACACTGCAAAGAGAAGGAAAACTTGACACAAACCCTATACCAACCCGTCTGGCCAGCGTGGTATAGTAGGCCAAAACCTCCTTTCTAAGGGAGAGGCTTATGTCCAGCAGTGGACTATTAAAGGCTGTTGATGATGATGATGATAAAGTTTCTATGGGCTCTTGTAAGTTTATATGAAAGTTATTGGTCTTTGGTTAGAGACACAGACAAAAAAAGTGTGTGCGTTACCCCAGCAAAATAATGTCGAAAATGATCATTTAAACTTTATAGATAATTAGTTGCTCCCCTTCTGTAATTGTTAAGCACATTTTTAAATTTGTTTCACTTAAACTTTTTTAGTTATTTCAAAAAAACATTTCCTGCTGGGGTAACGTTTGAAACGTTACCGCAGCCAGACATTTTCTTTTTTAATTGTAATATTGAAATAAATTTTAGCTAAATAATTAGTTATCTGGACTAGGTAAATGTTACAACTTATTTGGTATTTGTATTTTCTTCGGCTGTGAAGTTATTCGAAATCCTGCTGGAGTAACGTTTGTGGGTTTGCTGGATCTCTGAAACGGGTAAGCGGATTGTAACCATCTTTTGTACATAACTTCTTAAGGATTAGTTTTAATTTGTTCGACAATAAAATAACAAAAATAATGGACCGTTTAAAAATTATTTAGGTAAGTATGAAAACACTTCAATACGTCCTAACACTTTAAATAAGACCTCTAAAGACTTACTTGAAACGTTATTCTATTGCTTGTAACTACCTTCAAATGTATACGAATTTTCGTAAGAATACTGTAAGTGACTAAAAAGTTATGATGAAATGTAGCTCTCCACGTTCACGATCACAATGTGTGCGGCCTTTTTTGGCCACCGATAAACCTGTGTGTGGATATATAAACTGAATGTTATGCCAATAATTAGTTGTTTAGTTCAGTTGTCTACCTGTAGAATTTCAGCGTCGTACATATAATAATTTACGAGATAATTAAATAAAAGTCATTAGAAGGTGCAAGTCCGTGGTAATCCGACCATGTTTAGGTGGTTACAAAAAAGCGATCACCCAGTACATTGCGCTGTCTTTTAAAATGTTTAGTGTAATACACCTTACGATTTCGGTACAGTTACGTACAGTGTTAAATACATTCAATATTTATTCATTATTATTACCTATTATTTATTTTGTTTTTCCCCTAATTGATCTTAAGCACTAGTTTCTTTACTTAAAATTTATTTAGTCTTTTTTACTACCGGAGCTACAATCAACAGAAAATCTGCACTGGTCCGCTAAAATTATAAATATGTAGATACATGTATGAACGATTCACCTGACTGCATTAAAACGAAAATTTAAACCAATATGTCGAAATCGTTTCATTTCTTTGATTTTTTTTGTAAAGAAATAACACTAAAGTAATTGTATTTTATTTTGGGGTGTATAGAGCTTAGACTTGAATGCATCAAAATATTTAAAGCAACAAGTCATCTACAATAAGTTAAAATAGACCGAATAGTAGAAGAATACAGTTGTAAATTAGAATGCATCAACATTGCATCGCCCAACAGTCGTATACCTCGTAAGAGTAGGTAATATTGTTCTGTGGTCTATACCTAGAACCGAAAATTATCTATACCTATGTACCTACCGTTAAGCGTTGAGCCCGTGACTGTTGATTTCTGTTAAAAACGAACAGTTGTTGAATGATATTTTGATATAATAACGGTAATTTAATTTATCGAGTGAAAGTGATACATTTTTATAGATAAAATTATTGGTCAGATAATGTTTGTCAATCAAGAATCGCTGATAATACATCCTTCGCTAGAACGCGGGAGGGAAGGGGCGAAGGGATACTTCATTGTTTGCAATTTGCATCTAGTGCACTAAACTTGACCCTTAGGCAGATAATATACGTGTTGTAAAGTACGTGTGCGCTTCCGCTTTCTATTTTTTAATACAGAGTTTGTTCGCGTTATGCTAGCCTAAGTCGATTCATCACTTAAAAAAATCCCCATCTATTCAGAAAATACCTATTTACAACGCATACGTTACACTCTTCAAAACTTATCATTTCATTTCATTTCATATTTCCTAAATTACCTATACCTACCCTAAAATTAAACTTCAATTAACAAATACTACGCAGGTACCAATTCTATGAACAACTATACACAATTCACCTAAACATTACGATAAAACAAAAGCATTCAAAACAATACCTAATCTTCCGGCTGATTACTAATTATGCAATAAACAATCCTAAATAAAAATTATTTAAAAAACATGTAGTTTTTTGTAACACTTATGTACATATCCGTAGTAAACTGGCAACTGGCTACATATTTTAAAAGCCAGCACAATGTACTGGGTGATCGCTTTTTTGTAACCACCTAAACATGGTCGGATTACCACGGACTTGCACCTTCTAATGACTTTTATTTAATTATCTCGTAAATTATTATATGTACGACGCTGAAATTTTACAGATAGACAACTGTACTAAACAACTAATTATTGGCATAACATTCAGTTTATATATCCACACACAGGTTTATCGGTGGCCAAAAAAGGCCGCACACATTGTGATCGTGAACGTGGAGAGCTACATTTCATCATAACTTTTTAGTCACTTACAGTATTCTTACGAAAATTCGTATACATTTGAAGGTAGTTACAAGCAATAGAATAACGTTTCAAGTAAGTCTTTAGAGGTCTTATTTAAAGTGTTAGGACGAATTGAAGTGTTTTCATACTTACCTAAATAATTTTTAAACGGTCCATTATTTTTGTTATTTTATTGTCGAACAAATTAAAACTAATCCTTAAGAAGTTATGTACAAAAGATGGTTACAATCCGCTTACCCGTTTCAGAGATCCAGCAAACCCACAAACGTTACTCCAGCAGGATTTCGAATAACTTCACAGCCGAAGAAAATACAAATACCAAATAAGTTGTAACATTTACCTAGTCCAGATAACTAATTATTTAGCTAAAATTTATTTCAATATTACAATTAAAAAAGAAAATGTCTGGCTGCGGTAACGTTTCAAACGTTACTCCAGCAGGAAATGTTTTTTTGAAATAACTAAAAAAGTTTAAGTGAAACAAATTTAAAAATGTGCTTAACAATTACAGAAGGGGAGCAACTAATTATCTATAAAGTTTAAATGACCATTTTCGACATTATTTTGCTGGGGTAACGCACACAAAAAAAGTGTAAAGGAATTAAACAATATTTATACAGCACCTAGGAATAAACGCGCTTAATAGATGTTACTCGTACCTACATACCTTTGAATTGCTTAACGTTTTAGCCAGGATGCACTGGCTAAAACCAGTCAGTCAGTCTGTGACTGCTGAATCAGTCCGACATCCGAAACGTTAGGCAATTCGGGCATATTTCTACACCCCCAAAGGTTGGCTGGTAGAAAATGCCTTGGGCATTAAGCCCGCCGTTGTACACAAGTGCATAAAGTTGAAAATGAATAAATAAATAAATAAATATTTACCGTTAATTACCTATCGAGAGTAATAATGATAGACCTACAATTTAGCAGAAAGGTAGTACATACATATTATGTACAGGACCTAATGTCAATTAATCCTAGATAATGCTCATCATCGTTTACAATATATTGCTTTTACTGATATCGGGACATTAACCGTCAAGTTATTTTGGTACTTTGTATGCATTGTGATCTTAGAGAACAACTAAACCTCTTCTTTTGAAAGAGAATGTTTACGTGCGGCGTTAAAAGCGAGTTGGTGTTTTCATGTGACGGCTTTAAAAGCGAGTTAGTGTTTTCACATGGCGAGCACTTAAATGAAATTGATGTACTTGTTGACGGCGCTATAACACGCCTTACTAAAACATTGTACATGGCCTTATCACGTACTAACAGAAGAGTAAAAAAAAAGATCCCATCTATATTCTGCAAGTTTGTAGTGTGCAGATTTCAGAGATGCAGATTTTTTCATCTTATAGCAGCGACGAGTCTAAAATTTAGAAAGCAATGTCCTACAGCACCACTAAAACTTTTAAATACTTTAGATTGCTTTTTGTTTATTTCTAAGGTTAAGATATCACGTACTTTGCTTAAATAAAATCCTATAATAAAGAGACAAAATCAATATCAAACAATAACGAATTAGCACTATAATTAATCAGAGTGTAGTTTATTTCACAGCCACTCCTTACGTTACAACACATTATATAAATATGTATTACGGGAATTAACACGCCTGCGATTGGTAGTAAGCAAGACTAAGTTGTCCGTGTGGTGACGGATTAAGAATACGGTGTGTCACCACCGCTATCCGCCCCGTGGGTGTCGTAAGAGTCAACTACGCAAGAGAACAGCACTGCAAAGAGAAGGAAAACTTAAAACAAACCCTATACCAACTCACCTGGCCAGCGTAGTATAGTAGGGCAAAACCTATTTCTAAGGGAGAGGCCTATGTCCAGACATACCTTTGAATTGCCTGACGTTTCAACCAGATTGCACTGGCCGTGGTAGTCCCTGTACTGTAAGACTGTACTTAATACCTATCCTGAGACCCAAGTTCGACTTTACTCAATCGTCAAGGTGACTGCGTTAGGCGCTGCGATTGGCCCGCGAAATCTCCACCAATCGAAACGCCGAACGCGCTAACTGTCGAGAGTGAGTTGTTGTGAAATAAACTTGCACTAGGCCTTTTGAGGGCCTTAATTACCGTAATACATAAATATATATTACGCAATGCAAGTTTCAAAGTTAGTTATCCTTTAGTAAAAACTTTAACATGATGAATGAGTGATGATAGATGAATGAAAGATGCAATATTAGTGTTATCCTATATTGTATAAAAAAATCTTATCTAAATTAAACCCTGTTAATCAAAAACCAGCAGTGTTGCTTTACTGTAATAAATACTTTTTAATTTCTACAATTAAATGCTCTAAAGCAGGCAAATAGCACTAATACACAAATACTTAAAAAATCTACAAAGATGATTTGACTTCATTAAATTTTCTAAATGAAACGAACTTTTAAAGCACTGATTCAAATTTTAATACAAATATTGTCAACAAAATAAAATTTCTAATTGCAACAGGAGTATACGGTTAACAGTTAAGCAGAGTGACGGAGATTGTTAATAATACTTAGTATTTCTTTTCTTTTGGCACTAGGGTTAATTTTGATAGTCATGTCTGAGTTGCCAATTAATCCATTTTTATGGGCATATTCTGCAAGTCTCTCAGTGTTGCTTATAACATGTATACCACAGTCGTAACCATTGGTTTGCTGAGAGCAATCTTTATCGGCAAAATTAATGCTACCTGAAAATTTACAACACATTTTGTATTCTTTCTTTATCATAAATACATGCAAATATTTGCATGTGAAATATTACATCTTATAAACAATAATTAGGTTAACAGAATACTTACCAACTTTAGTTAAGTATGGAATTAAGTGACTTGCAAATTCCCATGCAGCATTATGATTAGAGACATATGAAGAATCAAAATGGAAAAAACTATTTTCCGGTTTTGAGTACACAAGAAGACTCCAGTGTGAGCCTCCAGCAACATCCGGTGTATTATTATCGTTGAGTGGGAAAAACACAAACTGTTTGAAACTTATACCAAGTGGGTTTAAAAATGTATGAATCTCATCAGTTTTAACCATTTTTATGCATTGGGTTACCTCGGGTGATACAAAGAGTAACTCTTTTGCTTTATTAAAAGTCACTTGTTCTAAGTATTCAAAATAAAATGAGATAATAGTGTCATTCAACCAATTTGATCCAGTCAGAAGTTGAATATCTGATTGACGGAGTATTATATCATGGTAGCTTAATACAACATTTAACTTATTGGACATTTTCGGTATTTGTTACTTAGCTGATCTTCAATCACATTCGTTTCTTTAGTACTTATGTTGATATGATCTGGTAAAGAAAGTTTAACGAAAATAAAATAGAAAATCAACATTCCACACCTAATTATAGTAATAGTACAATAACAGTCAACCTTATAAATATATTACAAAATACTGTATCTTTTTTTTTTATTATACTTTGAGATATTACTTAATAGCTTAGGTTTATAGTATGTTGCAAATATTTATCGTTTACGCTTCTTCAGCCCTATTGTCTTTTATTGATGAAAACTAGTCAAGGTTGATGATCACTGTATTATTTTTATTCAAAATTCAATCAAAGAAATAATAGGACTCACCACAGACAAACCGAGAGCGAATGCATTTAATAAAACCACAATATTATTTATTTACACAATTAACCACTAATATTTCGTAAGAGTTATGTTTCCATTGATACAGTTGAATTCAATTATTTATCACTACTAATTATTTCATTGAAAATCACCCTAGGCGATAGCGCAATTTCCCATTTCGTTTTAAATTGGTTTGAAAGATTTGACACAGAAATAGAAATGTCATCATGACATATAAGGAAATCAAGTTTACACGTTTCGTTTCAGCATTTGTCATTTTTTTTCTTTCAACATTTTTATTTTAAATAGACACAATTATACTCTTGAAATAAAAACAAATTTCAAATTACAATTTATTGTATTCATGGTATTTTAATCCAACTTCAAACAGTAAACAAAAAAATGTACAAAATCGACGAATGGTCTTCCTGCACCTCATCGTATTTATGATGATGATAAATGTTGTACTTCATTTGAATTTGATGACGGTAGAGCCAAAGCCCTTTCTCCCATTTTTGAAGCACAGTGTGTTCAATAGTCCATCTAATCAAAGAGGTTCCATTTGACAGTTCGGATAGATTGAAGAATAAGGGGATCACAAAAACCAATTATAACAATTTCGAACTTTAAAGAGATATCGATATCATTTCTTAGTATTTAGAAATCGATTATAGTTTTACAGATTTATGTACATAGTTATGTTACTGTAAAAGCTCGCATATTATTACATCTTAAGTTTTACTAGTAAATCAATATTAGTAACCTACACAAATGAAGATCGGTAAAAACAAAATAAATATCTATAAAAACAATTGACTACGCTAAAGTGAAGACAAATAAATAACACAATGTCTAGTTCCAGGAACATATGGGTGTCAATAATGACTGGTAAAATAGGTCGAAAATATACCTTGCACCTAATTTTATGGTAATCAACACGTTTCGGGTTGAAAATTATGAAACGTCAAACGGTACCTCGTAGATTAGATGGACTATAAGCACTATCAATTTTTTTTATACCAAGTACAGTGTGCTACGGTTTATGGTTATCGCCACTTGGTAAAATCCAAGGCGATATTGGGACTCGGAGGCGACCAAATCTGAGCACCTTTTAGGTTAAAATCAACATTGACTGCACGGATGGCGTAGTGGTTTAAGCGGTCGTCACGCCGCTTCCTACTGCGCTGAGTGTTGTGGGTTCGATCCCCACATGGGATACCACTTTGTGTGATTCACAAATTGTTGTTCTGAGTCTGGGTGTTCTTTGTGTCCGTTTCATGTATGTTTGTAAAGTCCCCCGCGACACAGGATATATTCCTAATGCGGGAGTTGTCTTTTTTAAATTCGAATTCGATTCAATTCGAACATTATTAAATGTCCAGGCAATTTTAAATTGTAGTGGGAAAGCCATGCTTCGCCACAAAATTGCCGGCTCGAACGGAGTGATACCACAGTCTCAGAGAAAACCGATGTTATGTTGCTTTTTACCGGTTGTGTGAGGTTGTCAGAGCCCAAAATCCTCCTCCCCCTATTTCTGGAATTACACTCAAAATTCAATTCACTCAAAAAGCGGCAACATATTTGTGACTTGAGTTATAGATGTAGGTAGTCACTACTAGTCAGGTACATAGGTACTAAAAAAATATATATTAGAAAAAACACAAAATATGAAAGCAACGTTTAAGTTTCCAGTGACAGTACGTACTTCTGATACTAAACGTGGGAAAAGCATTTAGAGGCCAATAGTTGGTTGGTTGGTTTTTGCGCTTTCACAGCTTTGACTGTCCATCTAGACATATAAATAATCTAAGTGCTGGTTGTTGTTGTTGAATAAGATTTAAAATAGCTTATATTAAGCCAGTGTGTTTTCACTTTCTGGAAAAAAGACTCGTCCACCGTTCCGTACAAACTTGTAGGTCTTGACGTTCTGCGTCAAGACGATGCCGTTTTGAGAAAGTGATGTTCTGCGTCAAGACCATGATAAATAGTTGAGGAATTTTGTCTCTTCTTTCATTTCAAATTCATTTTCCTAAACTATAAGTTTTGGAAAATGAATTTCGGGAAAAGCTTATATTATTATTGTGTGACTTATATTATTGTGTGACATATATTATTGTGTGACTTATATTATTGTTTTATACCTAAGTGAAATTGTACCTCAATTATTGATTTTGTACTTTAAATAAAGTCTAGTCTAAGTATTTTTTAATTACAAGTCTGTGGTTTCGGATTTTACCTGTACTTGTAGAATAAGTTGTTACTTGCAAAATTTCATGGTTCTATGTTAACGGTGTGCGTTACCCCAGCAAAATAATGTCGAAAATGGTCATTTAAACGTTATAGATAATTAGTTGCTCCCCTTCTGTAATTGTTAGGCACATTTTTAAATTTGTTTCTCTTAAACTTTTTTAGTTATTTCAAAAAGACATTTTCTTTTTTAATTGTAATATTGAAATAAATTTTAGCTGAATAATTAGTTATCTGGACTAGGTAAATGTTACAACTTATTTGGTATTTGTATTTTCTTCGGCTGCGAAGTTATTCGAGATCCTGCTGGAGTAACGTTTGTGGGTTTGCTGGATCTCTGAAACGGGTAAGCGAATTGTAACCATTAGTGATGTGCCGGATATCCGTATCCGTATCCGTATCCGCGGATATCCAAGGGAGAAGAAAGATCCGTATCCGTATCCGTATCCGTGACTTTTTTGGCGGATCTTTCAATACATATTACATAGATGAAATTCTATATAGGTGATTTTGTATTCACTGTAAAACTCTTAGGTATGTGTTTGTAACACTATAAACAGCAACTTTATTCTGGCCAACGTCAAAATAAAAAAAAATTGGTCCTCCATTCAAATGACCAATCAAATGTTGTTAGTTTGTATGGAGAAACAATTTTTTTTCTTTCGTTTTCGGTGTTAGTCCAAAAGAAAAGTTGTTATTTATAATGTTATTAATATGCACTTCAGAGGTTTTCAGTAAATTTAAAATAACCCTGAATAATGGTTATTAGGTAGCTATGAAAAACTATTGAATTCCGTGCAGATTACTTTTTATTTCTCAAAACAAATATTTGGCACCTTTGTATTGCAATCATTTATCGTACTATACTAAATCAACTAGGCAGGTCGTAGGTACTGAAAGAGCTATCTTTATAATGAGATCAATCAAGTATTAGCTTATTAAAATAATGAAATATTTAAATATCAACGGCAAAGCATCAAGTGACGACAACTATCAAGGTCACGGGCTCCGATTGAGTAAGAAACTTAAGATCCGTATCCGTATCCGTATCCGCGGATCTTGACACCAAATATTCGTATTCGGATCCGTATCCGCGGATATACTTTGTTAACGATCCGGCACATCACTAGTAACCATCTTTTGTACATAACTTCTTAAGGATTAGTTTTAATTTGTTCGACAATAAAATAACAAAAATAATGGACCGTTTAAAAATTATTTAGGTAAGTATGAAAACACTTCAATACGTCCTAACACTTTAAATAAGACCTCTAAAGACTTACTTCAAACGTTATTCTTCAAATGTATACGAATTTTCGTAAGAATACTGTAAGCACGGTACTATTATAATACAGTACTCCAACTTCATACAAACGGACGAAACGCGAGCTATACCTACGCGCCTCGATCTCGGGATGCGCTCGGGGCGCAGACAGTCACGGCTGTACCGCAGTGTCGAACGGACGGTGTGTTGTTTTTTTAACAATAACCGCACGATTTTTTCTCTAAAAATCAGTTAATATGACGAGTAGGAAATATTGTGCTGTTTTTGGATGTATGAATTCGTCAATAACGCATCCAGACATAAGTTTTTTTAAATTACCTAGAAACTCTGAAAGGTAAGGCTATAAAATAATTTTACTTACTAGTAGGTACGTACATGTGTGTCTTTTTAATGGATAAGTATTTCCTTTTATCTCACGAAAAAAAAGGTGTTTGGATTAATAAATAAAGCGAATAGAGTAACGGAACGTTATTGAGACGAGTGAAATAGGTAGTTATATGCGGTTCTGAATGAATCATGATACGGTAGGTACCTACCTACTTACGCTTGTGTTTAAACTTCGGTGCATGTGTGTTTGCATAATTCAAAGTAAAGACGTGGTATTTTATTATTAATAATATTTTATTTATCTGTGTGTATGAATAATACTAGATTTTTTTTTTAACGTCTGTGTGTCATTAGATAGTTTTCGAAATTTTCACAGTGTTTCTGCTGCTACTATAACAACATATACCACTAAAAAATGGTTTTATTTTATCGGTATTAACAACAACAGCTAGACTCATATATAATATTTAGATGTTTGAGGGTTGTGATTTTAAAACATTCGTAGTCAGCTGTTCAGCTTTTTAATAATTAATTAATTTTTTGATCAAAGAATTTTTGTTTTGAGTTGTTGCGAGTTGTAGGTAGGTACCTAATTTATAGAGACGTTAATAAGCTGAGATAAAAAGTTACTTACTCGTCAGCTGTTTCTTGCATTCTAATTGAGTAGGTAGATGTTGGAGTTTCTAAGGATTGGAGTTTTGTAACGCGTAAGGAGAAAGCACATTTTTTTTATTCTATAGAAGGATTTTTAAGCTATTGCATAGCTTTTATCGCGGGCTCTGAGCGCGGCGCGGCGCGGTAACCGAATCAAGAAATTCTCAAAACCTAACGAAAAATACCTGTGACCACGCAGATTTTTTTCTTTAAAAAAAAAAAAATGTTATGCAATAGCTTTACCGCGGCAGTCTCCGAGAGTGCCACATGTATTTTTTTTTCAGACGTTTTCAATGGTTGCAACTGATCCGGCGAGATGATTTGGAAAACAAACCTAACTTTAGTTCCTACCAAGTTTGTGAAAAACATTTTAATTTGGAGGATGTATTACATTCATCAAATAGAAAACTTTTAAAAAAAAGTGCCCTACCATTGTTGATGCTGCCAAGCTTAGCTAGTACCGATCCAGGAGTCTCTCTAAAAGAAGATAAACAAACCCAAACTGCTCCGTTGGTAGGAAATGAAAATAGTACACAGACTGAAAATGCAACAAATGAAATGTTTGCTCAAACCTCAACGAGTCTCTCTAGCAACACTCCAAGAAAAAGAAAATTGAAACTTGAACTCCTCCAATGCAGAAAGAAAATAAAATAATTAAATCTACCAATCAAAAAACAACACGCATTTTTATTGAACACTTCCTATTCAATATACAAAGTATTTCATTTATTTATATAAAAAGGATATTTACAATCACAAATCTAAATAGAAACAGAAAGTAGGCAAATATAATTAAAATACTGGCAACGGGCAGCCCTAACGCATGTTTAACGTACCGCGCGGCTGTAGGCATTTATTTCTATCATGCGGCCGAGTTACACTACTGTATTATAATTATACCGTGCTGTAAGTGACTAAAAAGTTATGATGTAATGTAGCTCTCCAGGTTCACGATCACAATGTGTGCGGCCTTTTTTGGCCACCGATAAACCTGTGTGTGGATATATAAACTGAATGTTATGCCAATAATTAGTTGTTTAGTTCAGTTGTCTACCTGTAAAATTTCAGCGTAGTACATATAATAATTTACGAGATAATCAAATAAAAGTCATTAGAAGGTGCAAGTCCGTGTTAATCCGACCATGTTTAGGTGGTTACAAAAAAGCGATCACCCAGTACATTGCGCTGTCTTTTAAAATGTTTAGTGTAATACACCTTACGATTTCGGTACAGTTGCGTACAGTGTTAATACATTCAATATTTACCTATTCATTATTATTGCCTATTATTTATTTTGTTTTTTTTCCTAATTGATCTTAAGCACTAGTTTCTTTACTTAAAATTTCTTTAGTCTTTTTAACTACCGGAGCTACAATCAACAGAAAATCTGCACTGGTCTTCTAAAATTATTTCATCATAACTTTTTAGTCACTTACAGTATACTTACAAAAATTCGTATACATTTGCAGCAATAGAATAACGTTTGAAGTAAGTCTTTAGAGGTCTTATTCAAAGTGTTAGGACGTATTGAAGTGTTTTCATACTTACCTAAATAATTTTTAAACGGTATATTATTTTTGTTATTTTATTGTCGAACAAATTAAAACTATTCCTTAAGAAGTTATGTACAAAAGATGGTTACAATCCGCTTACCCGTTTCAGAGATCCAGCAAAACCCACAAACGTTACTCCAGCAGGATCTCGAATAACTTCGCAGCCGAAGAAAATACAAATACCAAATAAGTTGTAACATTTACCTAGTCCAGATAACTAATTATTTATCTAAAATTTATTTCAATATTACAATTAAAAACGAAAATGTCTGGCTGCGGTAACGTTTCAAACGTTACCCCAGCAGGAAATGTTTTTTTGAAATAACTAAAAAAGTTTAAGAGAAACAAATTTAAAAATGTGCCTAACAATTACAGAAGGGGAGCAACTAATTATCTATAACGTTTAAATGACCATTTTCGACATTATTTTGCTCGGTTCTAGGTATAGACCACAGAACAATATTACCTACTCTTACGAGGTATACGACTGTTGGGCGATGCAATGTTGATGCATTCTAATTTACAACTGTATTCTTCTACTATTCGGTCTATTTTAACTTATTTTAGATGACTTGTTGCTTTAAATATTTTGATGCATTCAAGTCTAAGCTCTATACACCCCAAAATAAAATACAATTACTTTAGTGTTATTTCTTTACAAAAAAAAATCAAAGAAATGAAACGATTTCTTATTGGTTTAAATTTTCGTTTTATTGCAGTCAGGTGAATCGTTCATACATGTATCTACATATTTATAATTTTTGCGGACCAGTGCAGATTTTCTGTTGATTGTAGCTCCGGTAGTAAAAAAGACTAAATAAATTTTAAGTAAAGAAACAAGTGCTTAAGATCAATTAGGGAAAAAAACAAAATAAATAATAGGTAATAATAATAAATAAATATTGAATGTATTTAACACTGTACGCAACTGTACCGAAATCGTAAGGTGTATTACACTAAACATTTTAAAAGCCAGCACAATGTACTGGGTGATCGCTTTTTTGTAACCACCTAAACATGGTCGGATTACCACGGACTTGCACCTTCTAATGACTTTTATTTAATTATCTCGTAAATTATTATATGTACGACGCTGAAATTCTACAGGTAGACAACTGAACTAAACAACTAATTATTGGCATAACATTCAGTTTATATATCCACACACAGGTTTATCGGTGGCCAAAAAAGGCCGCACACATTGTGATCGTGAACGTGGAGAGCTACATTTCATCATAACTTTTTAGTCACTTACAGTATTCTTACGAAAATTCGTATACATTTGAAGGTAGTTACAAGCAATAGAATAACGTTTCAAGTAAGTCTTTAGAGGTCTTATATCTTAAGTGTTAGGACGTATTGAAGTGTTTTCATACTTACCTAAATAATTTTTAAACGGTCCATTATTTTTATTATTTTATTGTCGAACAAATTAAAACTAATCCTTAAGAAGTTATGTACAAAAGATGGTTACAATCCGCTTACCCGTTTCAGAGATCCAGCAAACCCACAAACGTTACTCCAGCAGGATTTCGAATAACTTCGCAACCGAAGAAAATACAAATACCAAATAAGTTGTAACATTTACCTAGTCCAGATAACTAATTATCTAGCTAAAATTTATTTCAATATTACAATTAAAAAAGAAAATGTCTGGCTGCGGTAACGTTTCAAACGTTACTCCAGCAGGAAATGTTTTTTTGAAATAACTAAAAAAGTTTAAGTGAAACAAATTTAAAAATGTGCTTAACAATTACAGAAGGGGAGCAACTAATTATCTATAAAGTTTAAATGACCATTTTCGACATTATTTTGCTGGGGTAACGCACACGTCATTCTGCTAATGCATAGCGTAAATTGAATAGTGGTTTTAATTTCCTCCAAAATGATTGGTACTCACACTCAAAATGATTGGTTTTTCAGTTATACTAATAAAACTAACTTTTCTAATGGTGTGAGAACATCGGAGAAACAAGTAGACAGGTCACTTGATGGTAAATGAAACCTGCTACTCAAGTCACCAAAACTGTTAACAACGAAAGAATTGCTTAACAAGTTTTCTGTAAAGCCGTGGTATTCCTCCGTTCAAGCCCATACGAGTCGAAGCATGGTTCTCCTACGAAATATTCACGACCGCACCGTTCTCCACCAGCAGTGCCGAAATCATATCATACATACGTACATACATCACATCATAATTATAAACTATATATAATCACTAGCAAACATTACAGACTCAGAATAACAATTTGTGGATCAGTGTTATCCCATGTGCACTAGGAAGCAGCGAGGTGACCGCTTAAACCACTACGCCATGCGTGCACATTGCTTAGTTGGACCATTCAAACGTGCTTGCTGTAACTGCTCCAGGAACCCCTATTTTTCATAATATTATGTTAATCTGCAAGCTACGTCACCATCAACTTCTGAGGCATTTAAGATCAGAAATTAAAAGTTCTTTTAAAGTATCAGGTGGCAAACGAGCAGACACGTCACCTGATGGTAAGTGACTATCACCGCCCATGGATACCTGCAACTTAAGTCATAAGTGCGTTACCGCCCTTTCAGTCCCTCCCCCCAGGATTAGGGGTGAAGAGTAACGAAAGAAATTGCAGTTTGTTTGTGAAGCGGTGGTATCACTCCGGACGAGCCAACCTACTTATGTCCAACCAAAGCTTTCCCCGGCCAAGAGAACGGCCGTTCTACTCGCTTCTACTTGAAGCTAAGCAAACTAAGCTTCCAAGGTGCCGCTTACTTGCTGGTGAAAAAAAAAACAGTGTCCACATGAAACACATAGTTCAATTTTTCTTGACAAGCAGAAGTAAAGGTAATGCAAAAAAAATGAAATTAAATTAATTTATTAAATATTTTTGTTAAGCACTAATAATTAATCGGTAACTATAACCAAAATTAATTCATCACATGGATTAATTTAGCTCATACAGAAAAAATAAATAATGAAACAGGAACACTCACAAATGAGAAGTTAGAAGGGTATCTATTTATAATTTAATAACAGTAATTCCATTCACAACTATTTCAAATGAGGATATACTCATGTATATACTCCCAAACTGGAAACTTACTCACAAAACGCAACAGCTAAAAACATGAAGTATGAATTATGCTAAATGTTTCGTACAATGCCAACATTGTTGAATACTAATGATACTGATTGGGCTATAAAATAAGAAGTATCTTTCAAAAAATATTATGGAAAATGCTTCTTATTTTATTTAATTATTTTGTCTATGATTTCCCAAATCACTTGGTTGAAGATTTAAGATAGGCAATCAGGTCTGCTCGTTCATTGGCCTTCTTTAAACCGGCGAACACCATCTTGGTTCCAGGGATGTACTTCTTGGGGTTCTCGAGGTATTCAAAGAGGGTATCGTCATTCCATGTGATACCTAAAACAAGTTTTTTTTTTAATTAATAAAGGACTCTAGTATGTATTAACATGCATAGTGACTGATTTTGATAACTGATAATATTGATGATAATAATAACTAATTTTTTATCAAATATGCAAGACTGATTAAAAATTATTTCTTAAATTAGTTAAAAATAATATATGTTGTTTCTTATGTAATCCTGTCTTTGCAGCTATACTGCTCATATCTCTGAATTTATGTGAAGAGACAATACATAATACTATCTATACAAATAAATAATATTGTTTTTTTTTTCTAAAAAGACAACTACTGCTATTCCAAAGTTCGCGGGTACGATTCCCGCTCAAGTCAAATATTTGTGTGCATGAACATTTAATGTTTGATTTGGTCTGGGTGTTTCTATGTATAATATGTATGTATTTACAAAAAAAAGTATATATGTATTTATATCAGTTGTCTAGTACCCATAGTACAAGCTCTGCTTAGTTTGGGACTAGATGGCGTTGTGTGTATGTGGTAGAATATATTATTATTATTAACTCCCGCATTAGAAACATATCCTGTGCAGATGACTCTACAAGCATACATGAAACAGGCATAAAGAACAACGAGACTCAGAACAACAATTTGTGGATCACACAAAGTATTGTCACGTGTGGGGATCGAACCCACAACACTCAGCGTAGTAGTAAGCGGCGTAGTGACCGCTTAAACCACTACTCATATTGTCCAGTCCAAAAACCAGTTTAAATATTTTTGTCTGTCTGTCTGTTTGTTCTGGGTAATCATCATAACGGCTTGACCAATTTTGAAAATATTTTACTATAAGGTAGCTGTCTATATCAGGTAGCTTAGGCTGTTTTTCCTCTCAGAAAAACCCTATAAAATTTTTCTTGGTCTGGGAATCGAACCTGAGGCTTCAGGGACTACCAGTCGCGTATCGCTAAGGCAACACTTTTTAAATTAGAGGGGAGCTAGTTATAATATAAGATTAGAGACTAATAACATCTCACAGTTTAACACTGTATTTTATGAGCTAGTTTTTATATTTGTGAATCACATTCTGCGATCTAAGTGGCGTGCAGTGGGAGAGGCCTATGTCCAGCAGTGGACTGCGTTGATGATGATGATTCTTCACTACATAGGAAGATTATGTTTCTTGAGTTTTATATATTTTAATAATATGTTGGTCCTCATAAAATGTTTCCCACATTATTTGTATATCGATTTGGCTTGTTATGTGAACTAATAGTATAAAAATTGTCATTTTTTGTTCATAGCAATTCACTTTGTTTTGTGTAGAAACTATGAGTTTGGTAAGAATAATAGATTATTAATTGCATTCTTTTATAATATAGATTTTAAAAAATATATGGAAGAGGTGGCAAACGAGCAGACAGGTCGCCTGATGGAAAGTTACTACCGCAGCACATGAACACCTGCAACTCAAGAGTCACAAACATATTGCCGAATGATTAATTGGAATCATTAGGTTAGTTCCATCAATTCACTAACTACTTGTATGAATTTGTATAGGTATTACTGGCCTTTTGGTTGTAACTGATTTGCTCTTGCTGTCATAAGAGCCGACTAAGGGAGCAAACTATGCAATGCAAGAGCACTGCAAAGAGAAGGAAAACTTACAGCCCATCTAGCTAGTGTGGTATAATAGGCCAAAACCTCCTTTCTAAGGAGATACTTATGTCCAGCAGTGAACTATTAAAGGATGATGATGACATGTTATATTGGCAGTTTGTTAAAATTAGGTGAATAATTATACTAACCTTTGGATTTGTTGGCATCTGAGTATGCGAACCCAGGAGCCTGACCAGTCTTGCGGCCGTAGAAGCCATGGAGGTTGGGGCCTACTTTGTGCTTGCCACCTGATTCAACCTGAAATAAAAGAAATTCAATAAAGTAGAATCTCAATTTGTTAAGGCAAGTTTTGATTATTTTTGTAATAAAGATTGCAGTTTTAAGGGAGGCTTTGAAGCACATTGGTACACACTATTTTGAACATAACATTTTTACATAGCATAGTTTGATAGTTTATCTTTTGTGCACAATTCTTAATTAAGGAAAATTAAAATATAATTTCTAAAATAAACCAGAATAGATGGATAAATATAAATCTGTTCCAATTTTCTTTTTAAAGCACACTTCTGAATTTATTCCTTTTTAAAACTTGTAATGCAAACAAAACAAAACTGATGACCAACTCTTCAGAAGTCAACATAGAGGTTTACGGAATATGATGGAATATATGAAGGAATATGTTTACCTGGGTCAAATTATATCTCCGGAGGACTCTATGTCTAAAGAAATAAATAAAAGAATAGCTTGCGGATGGAAAAAACTGGTCCCTAAAAGAAATAATGAAGAACAAAAACTTAGGTATGCATATAAAGAAAAAGACCTTCAACACCTGCATTCTCCCGTGCATGACATACGGCTGCGAATGGGCGATAACAGACAAGCAAAGAGAAAATTTGGATAGTACACAAAGGGCAATGGAAAGGAGCATGTTGGGACTCACTTAGTGATAAAATTAGAAATTCTGAAATAAGAAGAAAAACTAACGTTGCAGAAATAATAACTCGCATAGATCATTTAAAATGGGGCTGGACAGGACATATGCTATGTTCCAAAATAAATAAAAGGAGCATACAAGTCACCTTATTGTACCCAAGAGAGGACTGTAGAAGAAAGGGACGTCCGAAAACTAGATGGAAAGATGATATCCGCCTAACCTTGGGACCCTATTGGACTAGAGTAGCAGAGGATAGAGCTCAGTGGAGAGAGCTCGAGGAGGCCTATGCCAAGAGGCGCACCGAATTGGGAGACATAATATAACAAATAGAACTCGGAAATATGTATTGTCAAATCTGTAGCGAATTCGAAAGAAAAGGGCTTTATTATTATTATAATTAATATCATACATGTTTTATATTGTACACTGGCTAAAACCAATTCGATTCAGTTTCTGTAACCTACCATGGTATTTAATTGTTAGAACACATTGTAATGTCAGAGATTGCTAACAATACCGCTATGCAGTGTTGTAATCATTTGCTAACATCACAATGGCATACTTGACTACAGACTAAAACTATGCCATATAAATATTCTACTTATGTTTGTAAGTTACTCACAGTGTGACACTGCGCACATCTCTGGACAAAGATTTTCTTTCCGTTTTCAGCATTTCCAGCTGGTACACCCATGTTTGTACTAAAAAAATTAAAAAAATAATATTTATTTATCTGAAAGAGAATTAGGTGGAAATTATACTTTGAGGTTGATTAACAGGAAAATCATTTTTAATATTATCTCAGATAATCATGATGTAACGTACAAGGTCATCTTCAGTAATCATTTGTTACACATGTAAAGTCAAGTAATTTAGAATTCCAGTCATTTTAAAAAAAAACCCAATAAAAAAAATATTGCCTTACAATCTTAGGTCAATGAAACGCTCATGACCATGAGTTCCATACAAACTATCAATGCTAAAGTAATAAGTAGAGAATGATTTGAAAATACGAATAGACCTTTGTCGAGATTTTAATTGGTATGGAATTAGTTCTGTGGAATTAGGTCAGGATCAATGTCATTGGGGAGTTCCAAGACACAAGGTGTCGTAAGACCATTACGTAATCATGACATGCTTTGCATAATTAAAATAGTGATGTAACAATATAAATTATGGTGCCAACACAAGAAATATTCAAATGAAAATTAATATGAATTTAAAAGTAATAAAATAATATTTTTTATAGGTTAAAATCTCTGACTAACAGTTTTCGATTGCATTACGAATTAAACAGAAATGATTATTAATAACGTCACACAAATAATTTTACTTACGATTATTTGTTAGGTAATCAAAATTTAAACGAGCAGCTCAATTGCAGGTCTAGATTTTTTAAAACTCGTGACACACCGCACGCGATCCGTTACACGACTTGCACGACAGCGAATGAATGAGATTTAGCCCAGAACCACCGAGTCGAGTAGTAACAAATGTTGCCTCACTTCACAGTGCCAACTCAGATCGATAACGAAAAGAAATATAAATCTATGACGTTATTGTGGGCAATCTAATTAACGTGGCTAATGGATACGCATTTTATTTACACAAGAGTCAGATAAGTGGAATGATTATTCGTTTTATGATCTTTTTGAATAATTGATGTTAAAACTAAACACACCAAGGCAAAACATCAGATGAGTTATTACACTTTAAATTTTACATTTTAGTTCGTTATTATAGAATTTTAATGATGATATATAATTAATATACATACCGTGGTGATTGTAATGATTTTTACATATCCGTCACCACTGTAATCATAGACTAATTTTTTTTAACGTCAATAACAACTAGTGTCATACCAAAATGAGGTTCCTACGAGTAAAAAAGAAAAGGAAAAGAGTTCATAGTTGCCCACTTGTACCAGTATAGATTAACTTATTTTAGGTATATACTTAACTAATTTAAATATAAAAAAGAAAACAGCATTCCAATAAACTAGTACAAGACTTGAATGGGCCTAACCTTCCCTCACCTAGTTGGAATATTTAGGATATTTTAGATTTAAAGAAATAATTGTATCATTCAACTTCAAAACAAAATATAGTAAGTTGAATGAATTGGCAATTCTAACTGACGATTTATAAACCAGAAAACCAAAAAAAGCATTGATAAATTAAAAGATTGTTTCAACCATAAAGATCCGATTCTGATGGGTGCATCTATTTTCTCTTCAAAGCTTAACTTAAATATAAACTCTACTACAGAAATGACATCTTTATAAGAGACTGAAAAGTGAGGAGTATATAGGAGAAAAGTGAGGATGAGGAGGACTCAGGAGGAATGCTGCACAAAATCTGTTTCTTTTTTTTTATTTCTTTTAAATTACAGGTAAGTATATCTCAAATACTTTAGATGCTTCGCAATTTTAATAAAGTTAATACTCTAGATATTGACTAAAGCTTTTCGCAACTTTACGATGATTTTCATTTTCTGACAATTTTCACTTAGTAATTGAGCTTTTCTTGCCGCCGCTTTTTTGGATGAAAAGAGGTTTGTAAACTGTGACATCGTAGTGGTACTGTAATATATTCTTAGTTTTTGAATAGTATTAAAAATTAATGATCTACAAAATTTTAGTTTAACTAATTTGCTATTAGACCAATACCTATTAACGTAATAAATAAATATGATTTTCCTATTTCTATGAACATCTAGGTAGGTACGCCAAAGTGTTACCTAAAAGTAATGTATGGAAGAATCGACAGTAAAAAATGTACAGAATGGAATTTTTATTTTAGTGTTAATTTTCCCTACATCGATTATATTGACTCAGTAATCAAAATTGACTAATATGGCTAATAGATATTTATTACGTAACTTGGTTGGGCGGAATAAAATTATATGTGTTTTACATCGATTATTTACATGTTAATTAATAATATGTTGTTTGTAAATGTGCATAATGAGCACTTTACGAAAAAAGGTGAAAAAACAATAAAAAAATCAAGTTTACTCAACTGCTAAATATATGTATATATTTGAGCTCAGTGTTTGGGCTTCAAATCATCATCAACATTCTTGAACAGTCCATTGTTGGGCATAGGCATCTCCTTAGAAAGGAGGTTTTGGCCTACTATACCACTTGTATATAGGGTTTGTTTCAAGTTTTCCTTCTACTTGCAAAGCTGTGGTCCTGCTTAGTTTGTTCCTTTAGTCGGTTCTTACGACACCCACGGATGAACAGGGGTGATGACACTCGGTATTCTTAATCTGTCAGTATACGTAAAGGCTATGAAGCAGTTCTTAGATATGACTACACCTAAAAAAACAGTTTTTAAAATCCTATAGGTATGTGTAAAAAGTTACAACATTGGTTGTGTTAGTCGTCTAAGATTTATCTATTTTTGCAAGAACCGGTAGTAAATGTCGTATAAGTTAATGAGTAAAGAATCTATTTTAATTTTAGTCACATGATTTAAACTTTTGAATTAACTATACTACTTTACAGACACACACACACACAGACAATAACTACTTTGTTTTGATGTTAATAATTATTTTTAATCAGACAGGCCTCGAGTATTCCTTGCCAAAATTAAACCATTATTTTCTTAATAAAATTTGGTATTTTGACTCTACTTTACATGTAGGCCTGATGTACCTACTCGTACATCTAGGGTACGTACATATAACTATAACTTAATAAATATATGTGACATCATGTAGCCGTTTTCACATAGATTTTAATTTATAACACACCAGCTTTTGCTCACGGCTTCGCCTTCGTGTATGTCAGTTATCGTAGTAAAAAGTCGCCATGTCCTTCCTCAAGAATTAAAGTAGATATCTCCATGCCAAATTTCATTAAAATTGGTTACGCGGTTTAGCCGTGAAAGCGTAACAGACAGACAGTCAGAGTTTCTTTCGCAATTATAATATTAGTAGGGATTGAATAAAAAAATCTCTTCTCCGTATAAAAGATTTCATAATACAAGACTATTTTTTGTTGAAGAATGTTATAAATTGCCACAACTACATCGCATCGCGCACAGCGACATCTCGTGGTATTTTCAATAACTTCAATGTTACGTTGGAACATCAAGAATAAAAACTCTAGCTTCTTCATACCTAGGTATAAAAGGTTAAGAATATTTAAATGAACTCTGAATAGATGGCACTTTTTGTATCATTTATTAAAGTCTCGAACCACAGAATAACGAAATGAGACTCGCCGAGTAATTAAATAGAGTGCTAAATGCGAACGTAACCTAAAGTTTTCTATAAAATGTTACTACTCCCAGCAAAAATAGCACCAGCAACTCATGCAGTCTCCAGCGGATTCCAATAGGGATAGGGAATCCCCAAGAGATTCCGGTTGTTTCTTATGGTATAGAGTGACTAGCTGGTGCCCGCGACTGATGAATCTAAGAAGCTCTGCCTTAGTGACTTCGATACCCGGACCGGGCAAAATTTTATACGGGTTTTCTAAGAGAAAAACTAGCTTAAGTTACACCTTATATAGTCAGCTACCTGTTAGTAAAACATTATCAAAATCGGGTCTGCTGTTTTGAAGATTACCCAGAAGAAACAGACAGACAGACCGAGAGACAGACAAAAAATATTTAAAGTGGTTTATTTGTATAGACGGGTAAACGAGACGAGGGGTCACCTGATAGTAAGAAAACTGCAACTCAAGAGTAACAAATTTATTGCCGTCCTTTTAATCCTCCCTCCACCTCCAGTTTGGAGGAGGAGGGGTTTTGGCGACGGTGACGGTCACTAACTCGGCATGCAGCAACGAAAGAATTACTTAACATAGTTTTTTTAATTTATACTTTATGCACATGTAAAGGTAGGGTCCTACCTTTATATGTGCGTTTGAGCGGCACTGCACTGCGCAGCACAACGACGCGTCTAAATATTCTTTTAGTCATTTTGTATGCTCGTAGTGTATGTCGCATTAAAGGCGCTGCATTGGGCGTCGGAGAATATTTTGACGAGTAGCACCGCTCAAATGCGGTCCGACCATAAACGTGACAAAGGTGCACGTACATAGTGTGCTGCAATCTAGAATAAACAAATCACTCTATAAATTATTAATGTATATCATTTAAAATAAAATTACAAATTAAGAGTTATATTTCTTTGGCCGAAACAAAATTAATGCTTCTGTGTAATATATAACAACCTACAATACATAATTAACAAATAAAACGATATTTAAATTTATAATACCTATGCCAATGAAATTTTGACTTTGTTAGCTTAGTAAAATCTTTAAAATTTTATTCACAAGTATATTTCTGTTCTAAGTAAAACCAATTGACGTACTTGACAACAAAAGTACAATTTAAAATAGGGCAACAGAGTTTGAGCGCCAGTATTTGAGTTGAAATTAGAGATCTTTGGCTATTAAGAATAAGTTATTAAATTTTAAATGATCGGTTCCTTAGATTATCGTCATAATTTCGCCAAAAACTCAAATTAAATTGCTTCCTATCTTGCTGTGCCCTGTCTCGATTGGATACAGGGCCGTTGCTAGCTTTTTGAGCGCTCGCGTGCACTTCTGATAAAGCCGCCCCTTTTCGTGCGGAAATCGCCCTTCAGACAACCGGTAGGGTAGTAATAAATTTTATGACTTTGGCTGTCATAATCTGGTGACCTATGTGGTTCGCGGGATGCGGTGGC